GATCAAACTGATGAACAAACAGGGAGGTCGCCGTGTTTCACTGATGGCTCTCATTGGCCACAAGAGGGAGACTTTACAATGATACATCAGCAGGAGGTTTCAATAGACTGAAAATGATCTCCTAAAGGGATAAAAAATGTAATGTAAACAGGAAAATAACATAAATTAAACAAGTGAAATCTAAGAGAAGAAACAGTGATATAAATGTTTGCAGTATATTGTAATACACTGTAAATTCTTAAAAAAATAAAAGTAGGTGTGTGATGAACATGAAGACTGTGAGATATTAATAATGTTTACTGCCTTTTTAAATCATGAACTTTTGGATACATCCAAACGAGGATACTGATGTGAACGGGCTAGCAGGGCTAAGCGCTCCTTATACAACTAGGATAAGAAACATATTCTTTAAATAACATACAACAGATTGGTTAAACTTTAAGTAGCTTCAAACCTACGGTATAAAGTTGCAAAGAATCACACGATAGCTCTAAATGGTCTTATTTAATTTTTCACAGAAAAGCTCTATAGCGTCCTTGTCTATTCACTTCTGTGGTGTAAATGAGCGACCGGTGTCATGGCACCCTCCCCCCCTTCATTTGCTGATCATTTGGGCAAAATGTATGCATCCCGCAGGCCACAGACTTTAGACCGATGACACAACTTGCGGACTAGAGATGTGAAGAAAATAAATTGACATCTCTTGATTTAAGAATCTATTTATCCTTGTTCAGTATAATCGATAGTGTCATAAGCTGAAGAGACAGTGATTGGGATGCTAATTCTGCTGGCCCATTATTGGCCATTTCCATCATGTGTTGGCATCAAACTGAAGTACTCAGATGTACACGCCGCTCCAGGCCATGACTTTTGATGTCTTTCTCATAGCTATTTAGAACTCTCTTTTCTTTATTTTTCTTCTTCTCCCTCCTTTTTTTGGCAGATATCACTCCCACCATACTGGACTGGTTCTCTGTTCCTTACCCCCCTTACAGCCTCCCTGGAAGCCCCACAACCCCGGTCCACCTCACTGGCCGCTCCTTACTGCCCGCTCTGGTCTCTGAGCCCAGCAGCTGGCACACGGTCTACGCCAGCCAGTCCCTCCACGAGGTCTGTGAGCTCCACTGTTTTCAGATGGACCTGATTGTGACTGAAAGATAGAAACAAGCATTAATAAAGGAACTATGACGTCTTTTTCATTTTCAGATTACCATGTACTACCCAACCCGCTCTGTCCACCAGGGGGCCTACCACCTTCTCCACAACCTGCACTACCGCATGCCCTTCCCAATCGACCAGGACCTGTACGTGTCGCCCACCTTCCAGGACCTGCTGAACCGCACCCGGCTGAGAGAGCCCACACACTGGTTCAAGAGTCTGCAGCAGTATTACTACAGAGAGCGCTGGGAGCTGTACGACTCCAGGTCTGTCACTGCACAAACATTTGTTATGAATCAGTTTAGAGGATATCTGGCAAATGACTGCAGATCAAATTCTGAACTGAAAACAATACATCTGTGACTTCAAGTATTGACACTTTATCTATTTCACAAGATTGGTACATAGGGGAAGAATAAATTCAGATAAAATACCATTCTGAGAAATCCTGCACACGCACGACACACCCTGGACGTGATTCAACAGAGCACGTTCATCACAAGAAGTCCTTTCTATTAACTGCCATCAGACTGTTTAATGGAGAATAATGCATAATGAACACATGAATATATTTATTTATAAATACACTTCAACAGATGTTACACACTTAAGGTTTATTACATTTCTAGGATGTCTTTTATTTATAATTCTGAAATGTAAGTCTAGTTTTTAAACACTGATCTTAGTATTTAGGCACATGAAAACAAGACGTCAAAAATACTATTTGTTTAGTTTTTATGTAGTGTCTTGACTGTGATTGCAGTTGCTGCAGTGACGATGTAATTTCCTGCAAAGGATTACTAAAGTATCAATCTATCTTAAAGTTGCAAGTAAACACCTACGAACTGTCCATTGGCAACCCAATGTCTTCGTGCAATGATAATAGTTTGTAGTTGTGTACTTGCATTTTTGATAATTACAAACCAGAAATTACTAAAAAAAAAAAAGAAGTGTGCGTTGGACTTCTATTTTTGTTGCTGTGGTATCCAAACAGGCATCAATATCATTTGATTCTTACTAGTAACAAAGTTTAAAACTCTGGTATCGTCACAACCATTTTTCAAATCTTAATCCAACAAGCGACCAGACTGGGTTTGAGCCAGGTCCAGTTTTGTATTCAGCTTTAAATGACTTTAACAAAGGTCATTACATCCGTTAGAGAAAAGGCTGAACTTCTCTTGCACTCAACTTCATCTGGCCTCAAAAACAACTTCCTGTTGCCAGCATGAATGTTACGTTCAATATTATAAATATATTAAACCGTCAAGCTGACTCTTTTTTTGCTTTGATTTTAAATCCCTAAAATTTGATCCACCATTAGATAGAAAATTAAAGCTCCTAAATAATAACATTAAAGAATAACTTGACAACCCTGAAACAGAGGAGAGGGAGCACATCTCTCACCTTGCTGCGATGATTAAACTTCATGACCCTGTGACATCACAGTTAGGAGTAATTACATGTGAGGCTGCAGCTCAGGATTATACTGTGTATCATCTCAGGTTTATTCCTAAATAGATGTCAATATAAGCCAAATAATGATACTGCTGCATACAGTCATGAGACTGGAGGTTCAGCTGTAAGCCACTAAAGTTTAAAACAGGCTCTTCTCTCTTTGCCATCATTCTGACATGGAGGTCAACTAATGCTCGGGAGACGGGGGCTCGTACATGAACAGGAGTCCTCTTCCCCCACAGATCTCTACCAACCCTGATCTTCTTCTGCCTTTCCCTCTCGAACACTTCCATTGCTGAAACTATTAATAAATCAGTTGAGTCACAGAAAGTTCATTAAGCTCTTATTAAAACCTTGTTTTGTTTGAGTTTCTCAAGCAGGAAGATTATTCTTCTTCCTGTTTTTCCTGTTTGGAAATCAAACCTGTTTGAACAACTGATGGTCGGACAGACAAAACTTTAGAAAATTCAGTTGTACCGAATTTAAGCATTTTTCAGACTGATAGACTTTTTTAAATACAAGACCATTTTGTGTATAAAGGAAGAAAGTACATCAACAGAGAATGAACATGTTTGTTTTCTGAGGTGACGAGCGGAGTGATAAACTGAGTAAAATGTTTAAGAGCGACCAAACACTTCTGTTTCTTTTCTTGCCTCTTTTTTTTATGATCTGAAATATCAAAGCTGCTGTGAGGAGATTTTATCTTATTATGAAACAATCTGAAATGAATCTCAATAACTTTTTGAGCTACAAAAATAAAAACAGGCCCATAAAGATGAGTTATAACTATATAGTTATATTTAATGCCTGTTACCGCGGTCAGGGGTAGGTGTCAGACGAGGAGATCGAACGCTCATTGCTGAAACTTTTTCATGTTTAATTTTCCACTGAAAAGATTAACAGCAGCGAGTGAGACTTTTTACTGTTTAAAGAAAGCAGGATGAGATGTTTTTGTTACAAACAGAAAAGAAGCATGGGGTACCAAAGCCCCTCACAGGAGCTTTAACCAGAATATAATAGTTTCACAACTGACTGCCGACGTTGTGCTGAGATCATAAATTAGCTCAAATCATATTTGTTTAGCATCAGACTGAGAGTCAAAGACATTTCTTAGGAATTCATTGTTTCAGGCTTGTTCTTCGTTCCTCTGGAGTGTCAGATGTGTAGCTTCAAAGGAGACTGAGATCATGTTTAGTACATTTCTACGGGGATTTTAGATTAGTCTGTGTTCGGGTATATTTAGATCCAGGATGTTTAAAGGAACATTTTGTACATTAAAATATATCAGAGATGTGTATGACTTGGCGGCATAGACAGCGATTTGAAACAGCTGTTAGGGCTTCATGTTGGGAATTATAACAGTAACACTTTATTTTACATTCAAGTATTGACCTTTGGCTGTGTGAAGGCACCGAGTCTGTGTAATGTTTTGATTTGAAAAAATGCTCTACCATCACAGGGCAGACCCTCTGGAAACAAAGAACCTGGTATCAGACCCGTCCCACAGCGCTGTGCTGGAGAGCCTCAGGCAGAGTCTGCAGAAGTGGCAATGGGAGACTGGAGACCCCTGGGTCTGTGGACCTGACTATGTCCTGGAGGACAAACTGGAGCCACACTGCAGACCGCTCTACAATGGACTCTAATGGTATTTTTTACATATCTTGACTGACTTGATATCTGCATTAATTGAAATGTTTTACTTAAATAAACTTAATTTTTATGTATTGTAAGTAAGTGTTGTTCTTTTGCTCAACAATAAACTAAACTTGAATTGCCTGAATTCCCAAATGTTTTCAGCATATACGGTAATCATTGGACTTAATGCTACCAGATCTCCTAATGGAATTATTTCTGGTAGCCATCCAGACCCCCATCATTATCCTGCTTCATAGAAGGGCAACGTGGACGCAAACTACTTGACTGTTTATATTATTGCATTAAACAAATGTATGCCCATTATTTTTGTTTAAGTCTCCATCTCTGTTCCCCTTCTGATCAGCTGATTACACAGGATCAGGAGTTCATGACGCTTGACCGGTGAGGTCCGAAAATCAATCAGGAAAAAGGGTTTCCATTGATTGATCACAGCTCTACTTTGATGTGCAGATGCGTCACAATCAAGCCTTGTAAAAAGGTTTTGGTATAATCTAGATTAGTCGATAATTCACTTGTGTTTATTGATCTGTTATTTCTGTTGGTCCAATTGTGTCCATTTTCACTCATGTTAAAGTCTTCAAAGCCACATGGGCTCATTCTTGTTGTTCACCTATTGATGGTTAAGAGCTTTATTGGTTTACATGCCTTTTGTAAGTCCAGAGTCAGACAGACCATGAAAAATAAAATCCAAATCTCCTAATAGCTGTGACTTTTCAGAGTAAAAACAAGGAGTTATTTAAGAAATGGATAGCTCTCCATATTGTTAAAGTGTGACATAAAAACATATAGAACATTTTAACGTATATAATTGGTTTGTGGTTAATAACTTTTGGGCTTTCTGGACATCTTTGAGTTTTGACGTCTTACTCAGCCACTTGTTAATCCGTTTCACTTTTACCTTCTCAAACGTCAGAGGAGAGCTGACGTCCCCATACATTTCCAACCCCCTCGTGCACTATACAACACACACGCCTGATCATCATCCGCCCACATCCATTGTGATTTGACGAACGTCCTGGGTCATGATAACGTCGCCTAGTCAGCCTTTATAAGAAGCAGAAAGTTTCCACAGACCAAACAAAACATTAAGTCGGCCAGAACAGACCGAGAGCAAAGCGCAATAGTCTTCTGCGTAAAAAGTACCAAGACGGTTCCAGACATGGAGAGGTCAGTCAGGTTTGCCGTGGTGTGTGTCGCAGTGTCTCTGCTCATCTCGTGCCCACCTGTGGAAGCTTGGTACAAGCAATCCACCGGGCCCAGCTACTACTCTGTGGGTCGAGCTTCCGGTTTGCTGTCCGGTATCAGGAGGTCGCCATACGTCCGCAGGGCCGAGTCCGAGGAGACGCTGATGGACAGCGGGGAGACAGCAGGTAACAACGTACTCCCAGAGACTAACAGGGAGATCTCCATCCTCAAAAGCATGGTGAGTACATTAAAGTACTATTTTTTTCCCTGCTCCGTTTCCCATTTCATGTATTTCTTAAATTACACTGATGATAAAATGAAGAAAATGCGCGCGTAAATCTGCCTTTCCTTTTTAAACTACACAAGAGCCACATTTATGGATTTCCGCTTAAAATCTGAAAGTTAAAAATATAAAAGAGACGACTGATTTTTGCCCTTTTCCAGAACACAAACGAAATTGACAGAATTGACAACATTTTTGGAAAAGTTGAACAACTCGTGCTTAAAGGTGCAAACCACTGAACGCGCAACATTCCGTCCCATAACATGTTTTTTTTCTTGCAGCAATAGCCTGCTTATGTTACGATGAAACGACATTTTTTTAAATCTTTCTATTGGATTTCGTGATTTAATTAACTAAATAAAAATACATGGTAACTGAGTTTTTGGTCTTTAACGGTCTCATCACCTTTTTCTCCCCATCCTGCAGGCCATCTGCGTAAAGGACATCTCTCCAAACCTGAAGAGCTGCGAGCTGCTGCGGGACGGGACGGGCACCTTCCAGTGCAAGGCGGACGTCTTCCTCACCCTGGACTCCCTGGACTGCCTGTCCGCATAAGTCCGGTCCTCGACCGAGCCCCGGGAGCGCTTCTCTGGAAACGGCGAATTTTGAGAAAGGAAGGAGGGGTGGTAGAGTGTGTGGGGAGGGAGGCAGGGTGGATGAAGGCGCAGAGGAAACCCCTTCAATATCGACGATGGACGCTGCAGACTCTGAATGTTCTCTTATCTAAAGAAAAACAGACCACAAACGTTGTTCACTATTGTTTCGATTTCAACCAGTACTGTAAAAGGAAAAAAAAAAGAAAAATAAGTATGAGATATATACATTGAAAACATCTTCTTTCCAATGACTTCCCATCTTTGCTGTTTATCCCTGACATGTACCCACAGTTGACAGAAATGTATTAAATGTCTTGAAATCTGACTGCAGAGCAAATTTCCTGGAAAGTACTTTAATTTATTTTATTTATTAAAACGAACAAACACTGGTAACCTGTTGTGTGGCTCAAGTTTGTCCTGAATGGATTCAAAATGGGAGAATATGGTTCTGGACCTGTGTTAGTTAATACATCAATACATTTACAGTCTTCCTAAAACACAAATAAATATAAACTGTAAACACATTTTCCAGCACATCATTTATTTTGTATTGCAGTTTTAAGGACAACACAAAGTACAAACTATAAAATCACAATCTGGGAATATGGTGCAAGAGAACGTTGAGATTTTGGAACACACTTTAAAGAATGTAAAAATATACAAATATTTCAAAGACCTTTTGAATTCCTCGACAGCAAAGCCCCGTCATCAAAAAAAGGCACTTGAGGGTGTTTTTCTCTTTTTGTTTTCCCGTCAGTATCAGTCATTACCACATCTTGTTTATTACTGGAGTCAGAGGAGCTGGTGTGATAGAACAGCCCCCAGCAGGTTTAATGCCACACAAATCACAGAAGGTTTGTGTATTCTGGTCAACAAATCAGGTTTATGAGTGTGAGTGTTAAATATTGGAACAATAATGTTTGGGGGTTGAAAAAAAAGTGTATTAAACCCAAGTTGAAAATCATGGGAACAAGTGACTTCAGCTCAGAACAAGTAAACACAAAGTAGGATGCATTAGGAGGGTGTGACGCACAGGAGGACAGCAAAGAGACACAGTGATGGATGAGCAGGCAAACACACTGAGGTATGCATGAGTGAACCCGACACCGAGGAAGTAACGGACAAACAGTAAATCCTCACACCTTCTGTGTCCTGCCCTAACACACACACACACACACACACACACACACACACACACACACACACACACACACACACACACACACACACACACACACACACACACACACACACACACACACACACACACACACACACACACACACACACACACACACACACACACACACACACACACACACACACACACACACACACACACACACGAAGAGATTGGCAAATAAATGGCATACTATCAATATTCAAAGGCATGATCTATCGTTCAGCAAAAACATTATGAATGCCTATAGTTCTCAACACAAAGTTTTAAAAGGAGACATTTTAGGGCTCAGCCCTGAAGATTTAATCAAAGAGGTCCTTCTCCTTCAGTGTTTTTCAAACGTTTTTTCTGAGCGACATAAAATAACAGAAGATGAAATGCTGCCGTGGCAAAGAGCGTCAGAGTCTTTCGAGCAAATTATCCTCATGTTCTTAAAACTTTTATCTTTCCATTTTTTGTCTCTTAAAATGAGACATCCAAAAGGTGGACATCACCAAATGTCCGGTGAGGATCTCCTCCTGCAGCTACAGGAGCGACACAGCCTCCAGGTTCTCTCTGATTATCGTGTCCATTACCACCTGAAAGACCACCTGGATGTTGGAGGTGTCGGTTGCCGTGGTGAAGTGGTGGTAGATGAGTTTGCTGGGCGTGGTGTTGAGTGAGACGAAGGTTGCGGAAATAAAGCGGGCAGCAGAATCCACGTCGCAGTCTGCACCTGGAGGACAGGTGATGGGAGGAAGAAGACTTTAATGTGAACCCTCTGGCTTCATATTAAAACCAAAATCAGAGCTATTGATTGTGGTAATGTTGCATTTTAGTAAATGTAGTTATGATAATCTATAAAGCTAAAGAACAGCTTACAGGGAGGACTATAAACCTCCCTACAGTCAATATATGAGCCGTGTGTTCTCAGGCAAGCACAGAGTACAACACTCTGAGTATGAGCTTTTACCATCTGTCAGGTGATACAGAGCCCCCCAATGCAAACTGAATGGTTTTAGAAACTCTTCGTGGATCAACATTGGGATCACTTTTTCGTAAGGCTGTATGTGTTGTGCAGCAGCTTCATGGTGTTCCTCATACCGTCTCATCCTTTTGATCTTTTCTCTTCTATGTTGTGTTTTATGCAGATCTTGTGCAGTATGGGTAATGTGCAATACATGTTAGGGTTTGCATTGGTATGTGTTTCTCTGGTTACATGTAGATTGTGACTGTTTGGTGTTATTTGGGAGGTTTCTGTGGCTCAGTTGATAGAGTCGGGTTCGATCCCTCATGCAGCAACAGGTCGGATGTAAATGCTAAATAGACTTGAGCTTATATAGCGCTTTTCTAGTCTTCTGACTACTCAAAGCAATACCACACCGCAGGTCGCACCTACCCATTCACACACTGATGATAGAGGCTGCTATGTAAAGTGACCATCAGAAGTAACTAAACGCATTCATACACCACCGACAAAGCAGCGGGAGCAAGTGTCTAACCCAAGGACACATCGGACATGTTGCTGCAGGAATTAGTTACTTCTGATGGTCACTTTACATAGCAACCTCTGCCATCAGTGTATGAATGTGTAGGTGTGACCTGCGGTTTAAAAATAACTTTGAGTAGTCAGAAGACTAGAAAAGTGATGTCGCATTACTCTAAACATACGACATGATGAATAAAAATAATCTAAGGATAAGCAGTATGACAAAATGTACTTAAAAATGTAAGTGTCTTTAGATAACTTTGTTATGAATTGGTGCTATACAAATAAAGATTGATTCTTGGACAGATGACAACGTAGATCTTGAGCTGAGTGACTGCTCTCTGAACACTTTAATAATCAGAATCAGAAATACTTAGTTCCTAAATTCTCGTCTTTTCACCTGAATGCTATAAAGTACAACAGGTCTGTGACAATTTCAGATTATTGGATTATAAAGGTCAAAGGTGAAAGTATGTGTAGTATGAGCAGTAACAGCTAAATATGATAACACACTGATCAGTCTAATGTTAACGTTAGGTACTGTAATGAAGATGAAAAGGAGAGGAGTGATTAAGTTAATTATAGAGGCTGAAGGTAAGCAGCTATTTGATTCACTTTAACATTTATAATACTAAAAGACGCGAGACTGATATTAAAAGTAGCTGTTGGAGTCAGATGGGTCTGAAACAGCAGGCCGTCCACACCAACGATCCAGAGGAATCGTACTAAGAGGCGATAATTTAACTACATGTTTTATAGGTTGGTGGTGATGCTGCCCAACATGACTGAATTATAATGATACTCTGAACAGAAACATCTACATATAGTTCAGCTAAACAGCGGTGAAAACGACCACCTCATTTCAAAGGACGCAGATAAATGAACAATTCTTTGTTGTTTTAGAAAATTGGTGGTAACGAGATTTGGACTTGAATTAATCCATAACACTAAATACTCAGGTTTATAGCTGAAAAAAGTGGTTTTGGGGTTTAGTTAGCTTATTCTGTTGTAGGTAGAATTTATGAGCAAGCTGATGTGGATTGGATTTCACACCTTAAAAAGACTTTTACATTTTGTCTGACCATGACTACTGCAGCAGTTATTTATGATGTCTTGTGAGTCCACGTGGGCTGGAGACTCACACATACAGGACACATGACGCAGGCCTACCTTTAAACTGTGGCAGGTATAACCGCAGGTGTCGGCCGGAGTGTAGAATCTTGTCCTGAAAAAGGTCTATCTTGTTCATGAATAAGATCTGCAATCAAAAACACACACACACACACACACACACAAACAGACACACACAATCAGCTGAGACATGAGAAAGCTCATCACAAGTCAAAGGCTTCCTCTCAAGCGGAAAAGAAAAAAATCTATCCCAAACATCTTGAGAAAAAGAAAACGTTGGTTAGATTTGGAGACTCCCATCTGAGGCGCAGCAATAACGTACCAAACGATGAAACCGATAAATCAGTTTCTAATAATAACGTGGCAGTTGTTGTCATTTTGCAAATGATTACATTAAATGTTCAAATCAATAGTTGTGGTTGATACCAGCATGGGGTGATGGTGATGGTGATGGTGGATCAATGAGCTCCCTCCACACATCAGCGTGATTAATCACTCGTGAAGCAACAAGCTCAGATTCTACAAATCTCTCTTTTTCATGTTTCACTGCCTCCATGTTTTACACGTGCTTTTCACTTTGCAGTCAACAAATGAAAACTACACCAGGGTTCTCTCTTTTCTGGCTTGTTTGACCAAAAAAAAAGACCCGATAATAACAGTAATAGTAAGAAGGGTGGGATGAGGTAGAGCAGATTTTCAATGAAGCAGATCCAGAGCAACAGCTAGGTGTGTAATTAGAGTTCACTGAGGTGGAGGTTACAAATCTCCCTCCCACGTTAAAAAGGTATCATTAAACACTTTTGTTTAATGAGCCTGTTGGCCATGTTAATGTGAGGGCCCACACACTACCCTGCGCATAAATGCGTCACACACAAAACATTAAATTGCCCATTGTGTCTAATGAAGCCTTGTACAAAAAGTCGTAATGGTTAAGAAGGGAATTCTTTACAAAAAGAGAAACATCGGTTAAATACTGCAGCTTTTTTTAAGGATTTTTGATATTTCCTTAGCAATACTGACCAAACACTAATCATAATTAATTATCTTTATGATCTCAGTCTATTAGGGTTGTCGTGGTAATAGAATTCCACATTTCAGTGCAAGACAAGAAATCTACAGACCTCCTGATCCCAGAAAGTTGAAAAAAAAGAATCTTGTGCACACAATATAATAATCTCACTCCCACAAGTTATTTTGTTGTGCGCATAATACTTTTTGTTTTTAACATTTTGGGATTCAGGGGCTCTGTAGAAATCAGACGATATCAATACCTGTTTCAATACCACACAAGCATAAAGAGAAGTCCGAGGCAATGAACATTGTCTTGTTTTTATTTACCAAAAATCACAAGCAAACTTCTGCTGACTGACTAAATAGCACAAAAACATTGGACATGTTTCAGTACGGAACTGTTGCCAATATATTCCTGCTATCTAGTCTTCAGCTATTCCTTTTTAATTCTAACTCCACCTAGTTGAATTTAATTGGACCATCGCTGCTCTCTCACTTTTTTACTCCACAGGTTAAAAATATGAAAAGTATTCTTTTACATCTTTGATACTATTGATCATAAAGTAACAATGATTGTATGTTTTTTTTAAGTATAAGGATTGAAGTTCTATTTCACAAAGGTTTTAGTTCGGTCAGAGATCTGAGTTTCTTCATGTTCCCACAGGCTTGTTCAACAAGTTAAAATCTGTGTTCAGGAGAGAGTGAACAGCAGTTGACACTCGACGTCATCGTGCAGTGACTTGTATTTTAAGAGGGTTCTAAATGCCGAGTTAAGTGGAATAAATTGAACAAGCTCGTTACACGCTTGTTATAATGGGATCATTTACCGGAAACGAGGATGGAAAAACACAGAGAGGGGAAAATGTCACCTCGCCAAAGCTCGCCCTAATTACAACTCACTGTTTAATTACGAGTGACAGAGGACACAGAGACAAAGGGCCGAGGCTGGGCCCCTGTTAGTGTGTGTGGAAACGGCATTCGTCAAACACATTAGTGTTATTCTCGTCTCATGGTGTCATAGAGAACAAAGAGAGCAACAAAGACATTTTGCTTGTGTCTCCTCATCTCATCGATGTGCTCTGTCTACAAACTGAGCTGTGCTTCCCGCCCCCTTCAGCTGATCTTTGTTTTCTGACGGTGCAGATTGTTGCTGTCATACCTGTCAGAGCTCAGAATGTAAAACATTCATAGAGCGTGGTCTTAAGTTCATGCTGCAAGTGCAATTATAGTATTCTAATCCCTCTGCAGGGTTCAAGAGCATACTCTCTGTGCAAAGTGAGGTAGAAGGTGGCAGGGTTAGATCAAGACTCTTAATTAGTCACAGGTGTGTTTGGGCTGTGACATGTAACAGACCAATCAGTGTTATCCACTCTTACCCTAAACGAAAAGGCTTCCTGTATCTTGGACATTGCATATTTTAAAAGCAGAACTTGTTTTTTTTAATAGACTGTGTTGAAGTTAGTGTACTTATATAAGGAGATGCAGGAAGCAAAATCCTTCAATCTCCCTTTCATCAGTCCCATAAAACGTGTCTGTTTTCAAAGAATATGAGCCAATCTATGGATATGGAGATTGATATTTGACATTGACATTTTTTAACCCATAAGACTAAGTAATATCATACATTTTGAAAAGAGCGCCCGTGAAGTCAACAGCACCTTTCTGAAAAGTTTAAAGATTGTCAACCTGAGCGCTCGGAGTGGGCGCACAAAAACGGCGGAGCGTTTGTAAAAAAAAAAAAAAAAGACACTGGGCGCATCCAGGCGGCTGTTTTCTGCTGCGAACGCTCTCGACACATTTAAAACAACTGAAAAAGGCACTAGTCGGACACGGGGCCTTAATGTTTTTGTTTGTGTTCTAGTATTTCTGCATCTGAGGGGGGTGGAAACAGGTGGAAACAGGAAATAGATGAAATTCTCACCATAGATGTGCTGCGGAAGAAAATGTTGTTGCAGATGGATGAGAAGAGTTTTAAACTCTCCTGAAGACGGTTCTGCAGAGAGAAGACAATAAAACCATCAGACAGCTCAAGAGGTGCTGAGGAGCACAGAGAGAGGTGACACTTTTTATAAAACTGACTTTTATAAATGACATAATCTGATTAGGGAAGAATTCAGAATTCAGAATTTGTTGCTGTCAAAGAAGAGTGTGAATGATTGTAAGGTAGTGTGTGTGCATCCTGTACCATGGAGGCGTCTTCCACCAGAGTCATGTCATAGCCACTGAGCGACACGACAAACAGCACCGCTCTAACGTCCTCAAAACAACCGATCCACTTCCTCCGCTCAGTTCTCTGGCCTCCAACATCGTACATCCTACGCAAAAGACAAAAAGAAGAAATTTGAGAACAAAAGATAGAACGTAGATACATTTAAAACATCATTAGGATAGTGAATTTCTCTTCATAATAAACTTGTTATTTTGTTTTCTTTGAGTCAATTTATCAGCTTGAAACAAGCTGTAATCATTCACAACATGGACACAACATATTGTTACCTGAACAGCCGATACAGCAAATATGAAAACAAATAATACACTATACACACAATCAGCAGACACAGAGCAACTACTGCACTGAATGAGAGAATTAAAGCATCCAGAGAGGGCTGAGTCTTCCTGAAGTTAAGATGGGGAACGGTTCAAACCTCTGTTGGCTAATAGTTCCAACGCTTTAAGAATAATGTTTTGAACACAAGATTGCAAAGAACCTGTGGATTTCATTGTCTGCAGTTCGTAATATCATTAAAGGACTGAGAGTATCTGAAGTAATCTCTGTATGTAGAGGACGAGGCCAAAAAACAATATCTGATGACCTAGCATATTGTTTTTTCTTACTCCTTTATTCATCCTAACATGCCGTGTAAGATCCTACATAAATATCCAGCATCAACCTGAGCCACAGAGATGTCACATCACATGAAAACACCTATGTGGGTGTGTACGGCCTTGAAATGTTTCTTTTTCTTTACAGGTAAAAATGGCCAAGAACACATAAAAGAAGCAGAGACGGCCTCATCTGTACATTACACTGCTGACAATCTGAAATATTATCACAGAGGAAAACAGGTAAGAATACAAAATTGCTGGATTTGTATTATGGGTGCTGGCTTTAGGCATGCTTTTATAGCACAGAACTATTTTTACTGTTAATAATGACATGTGAACTTTCTTGCACCAATGTGCTTAAACGTCATTCTGTGGAAATATTTATAAAACCATGTTGATCAAGCACACAAAGGTGTGAGACGTGAAATAACCAAAGAAATCAAATATCAAGTGAATCACAGCAGCTCAAATGAAAAGAAAAAACTAAAGGCATATAAAAAAAAAAAAAAAGCTGCAGATGTGTGGAGACATAACAGAGATCCAGACTCAATGGGGACCCAGGTGCTCCTGGTTTAGCCCGCTAACAAACTCCAATCTGGGACTTTTAAGAAAGTAAAAGTGTGACCACACTCACACAAACACACAAGTGTTTCACACCTCAGAGAACACAATACTGCTCAGTTTTTGTTAGGGTTAGAAATAGGTTTACATACAGTGTGTGTGTGTGTGTGTGTGTGTGTGTGTTAGTATAGTGTGTGAAATGAAATCTCATTGTGACTGACATGTCCTTTATCTGGATTCAATCTCTCGTAGAGAGGTGTACAGCTGTGCGTTGTGTGTTCATGACCTTGCATACTGATGGTTCAGCATACTGTAGCATTGAGGGGTGACTCTCTGATCAATGACAGATTGTATTAGTTCTAGATAAGGTCACTTATTCCTAAAATATGGGATTTACACTCACACACGCACGAGCTGGTCACACGTCCCAGCAGACCAGACAAAGCCTTTTTCAATTGTCCCTGAGACAATCACAACATTTTCTTCGAGACAATCACAACACAGCAGCACAAAAAGCGTAAAGGTCAATGTTCATGGAAAAAATGAGAGAGAAAAACACAACACAGCATAAGAGCAGAGAAACAGAGAAATCATCAGTTCGCTCATTTTAAAAACCAGATGTGTCATCTCCCACCTTCCATTTGAGCAGCCATTGAGTTAATGCAGCTCTTTATTGAAGAAAAACAAACGTGGAAAAACACACACAAAGAGGGAAACAAACAGCAGAGACGGAATAAGGAAAAGATGAGATGCGATTTCCGACGGAAATTTTTCTGTGGAAATTGAAGCTCAGTGAAGCTGATGCTTCATTACACAAACCTACTCACAAGCACACGTGCAGCTTCTCTAATAACAGTCTGATCAGAAATAAGTGTACTGCCTGCTTTGCGAGTGATCACACAGTGACCACAGTCCCCTCCTGCTGGTTCTGCAGTGTGAGCTTTCATATCAGATTCAGTCAAGTCCTGGGTCCAGCTTTCAATGAGCCAGAGGGGAGACGAAAGTTCAAAAACGGAGAAAAACGGAGAAACTGACAAAACGTGTTGTTTATTCAGAAAGAAAAACAGACACAGGTGTTTACTTTAGTCACAAGACTTGGATCTGAGTCAAACTCAAGTGTCAAATGTCAGAACTTGAGACCCCACAAAGCTCAACAGGACTGGCACTGAATAGATGTGCTCAGGGGCGCCGTAAAGGGGATAAACATTAGGACGATTCTAAGGGTCCATGACGAGGAGCGTGTCCAGACTTTTTTAACTGGGTTGGCCACCACTTGATTCATTACGGGCACAGTCACAATTTTAAATACTTAGAAAATGACATTCAAACGCTTGTACGCTTGAAAACTGAAAGTATTTCCATTATCCTGTAAAAACAGCCTCTGATGGGGGGTGGCACCGAGGTGGATAATCAGATTTCAAGGGGGCCCATGCCACTGATCTGTGATTGGTCTGTAGCTTCAGTGGGTCATTACTAGTGGTTAATGCGCGTGCCCCATGTATGGAGGCTTTGCGGGCGGCCTGGGTTCAGGTCTGACCTGTGGCTCCTTTTCATCATGTCACTCCCCACTCTCTGACTCTATCCACGGTCCTATCTCTAAATAAAGGCATAAAAAAAAAAAAAAACTGAGGCTGATGAAAGGGTTAATAGTTCTGGTATAATATCATAAATATGGTATAAGGACTTAGGTCAAAGTTTAAGCTTTGCAATCCATTTCGTGGGGTCCATGAATTTCTGCAAAAACAAACAATATGGTGTGGTTTGATAGGCTCGTATCTCTTGAGCCACACTGCTGGCTGATCTTAAAAAAGAACTTGAATTGGGCAGTCAGCCACTCTTTGTCAACATTCAACAGCCTATATTTTATTATAAATAAACATACGTCACTGAAATAAAAAGTCAAACTATCTGACTTTAACTGTTTCTGGGCGGATCCAAAGGCTATGAGTTTAAGGGAACATCAATCAATCTTTATTTATAAAGCGCCAATTCATGACTAATGTTATTTCGATACACTTTACAGAAAGCAAGTAAAAGGCCTCACTCATTGTCGACTACATGAGCTTTAAAGCTCTAGGAAAAGCCAGAGAGTAGACATCGGGTTCTGTTTTAGTGTCTAACTGTTACTCTAATATGAACAGTGTAGATTTGATAGGAGAATGGAAGCTATGCATAAATATTTGGGGAGGAATCCTGTAAATATTTTGCTATTTTAGGAATTTGTGTGCATCAAACTGGATAGAAATTCCTGATTAAAATGAGATGTTTGTCTTTGGTTTGAGCACATGATGACTTACAACTTAGGACGTTGACTTTATTTGGAGAACACAATGACATCATTGTATTTAGTTATCCGTTCTCTAATCTTGTTTTGTTTCTGACACCGAGCTTTGTCTACAGTCTATGGCCCATCAATTGATTTTTGTTGAAATAAAAAGTTATGAAGCTTATTGCACTCAATGCAGAGAGCAAATGTAAAAAAAAACGTTGACCGTGTCTGTGTAAAGGAACACTTATATATATATATATCACAACCTTGTCTTCAGTTTCCATTACACACTTGGACCTGCCAAGCATACAAAAACTTGGACTTTATCCACCGTGTTATAATTGTAATTATCAGAGCACTTAATGTTAATGATGCAGAAAAAGACCCAGATCCTTATTAGAAAAAGGGGTCAAGGGTCAATCAGGACATCTGTATGCTAACTAGACTGTCTGGGTGTAAAGTTCTCAGACTTCATGCTTATCCACACGCACGCGCAAATGCACACAGACACACGCACACTTGTATTTCTTTTTATTTAGTCCCCACCTCCAATGGATCAATCTATGATTTAATAGTTCATCCTGTATTTGTGTCTCTTGTCATAGAGACAGCTGATCAGGGCAGTTATAGCCAAACTGTGATCATAGATTTTCTGATCCTAATTAAGATATACAAGATAAATAAATACAATATTCATCAACGTTCAAAGGGCTTCAATCTCTACTTACAGGTTGATTGTTAGATAGAACCAGTGTGGACCATATTAATATAAACAGCTAAGAATAATGAATTTCCCTCTGGGATTAATAAAGTATTTCTGATTCTGAAGACAAGATGATTTCAATACAACACTATAGTGGGAATTTAAGGACTATGAGAAACTTTCCAGGTGTTCTCAGATCTTCAGATTGTCACAGCGGCTTAAAGCGGGCTCGTCCTGAGGAACTGTTCTGGTTCATAACCTTTGATCTCTAAACACCTTAATCATGTCATATTTATCATCAAGATGATCACGTTATATTGTCTGCACTGATGAGAAAGCATTGATGTGGTCTTTGTAGTCCATCATTGGATTGTAGTTTTTACACAGCAGGTCCTCGTGACATCTGTAACATCTCACCAGTGTTAAAGCAGCAGGATTCCCTTTTTCCCATCACACCTTTCCCCGTCACGTTTTTCATTGTGTTCACGGAAAAGAGGACAGGAAGAGTTACAGGGACATATTTTGGACTTTTTAAACAGATCCCGACATTTAAAGCCATGAACGTTTTCTTTCAGTACTTTTGTTGAATTGGAAACATTCACTTCTTGCATGAATACTGAAAAGGTTGGAATCATAAAAAGAACTGCAGAGTTCAACATGATATAATTTGTAAACAATAAAAACAGGAGTGCCGGGCTCAGGTGCTGGCTCAGATGAGAAAGCTCGAGTATGAAACAACCGTTCAGATAGTTTGGAATTGTGTTAGCTACAAGTGCAGCCTCAATATTTACAAAATGAGACCAAGTCAGAGCAGAAATCTCCATCGCCGTATTAACTCTGCAATCGCTGCTGCTTTCCAAAACCATCCACCACCATCAACCACCAAATCATATTATCAGTGAAACATTGTATTCTTAGTATAAAAACATTGTTATTGTGCTACCTGCATCTCTCCTTCAAGTGCAGGATTTTGTTAATTTATTATCGATATCTGAATGGAAACACTCACGCTATCTGCTAGCTTTCTCCAAAACTCCATTCAATCCCTTTAATATCCTTTTTGTTTCCAAGTTTGAAGTAATGACATCAACTTATGCTAAGCTCTTCATCAAACCCGAGGGCTTCAGATCATCTCAAATTCAAGACGTGAATCTACAAATACGAACAATCTCAGTCTCAAGGTGCCCCATGTCAATAATCCAAACCTAATTATGATCAAGAATTCCTGCAGATAAAAAGAAAGGTTGTGTGTGAGCGGGAGGTTGAGCTCCATCCAGCAGCACCACCTGGGACTATGCCGCCCCCCCCCCTCAAATATTACATTTGACACTGTCACCATAGTGACGTCACCATCATAATGTCTTAAAGGGGGGAAATAAACTGCACACACGCACAAACAAATTATCAAAAACAACGAGAAATGACTCAAGGGTGACGCAGCATTTATCTGCACAGGACCACACATATATGGTTATAATGAGTGTTTGTTTACTGCTGATACTTTGACTCCTGTGACATACTTCAAACCTAATGTGTGTACGCTGTGTGACGCAGAAACACTCTGGCATCTGGAGACTTAAAAGAAGCATTTAGATGTGACACCAATACCCCAGACTGAAGTCTTCTACTGACAAAGTGACTCACTCTACAATGTTTATATGCTAAACAGGGACCTTATGAGAAAGTGAGCTAATGTGTTTTATGGTTATGATTCCATGTGAGATGTGATGTGGAGCACGGAGGAAGGACAGGTTGTTTTGATTGTGGCTCTGCAGGTACACATTATTAAGAAAAAGGAAGAGAGGAATTAGATCTCTTCATATGATAGATACACTGCAGGCAGACACTGCCCTGGTTAACCCTGCACTGCACATTACCTTTCAATTAAAGCCAAACAGTGGAAAATCACCCACAATCCTTCATGCATTATGAGCCAACACTCAAACACACCTTCTTCTTCACACTTCTACAGACCACAAATGTTGTTTCACTTTAAAACAAATATCTCAACTAAGAGAGCAGGCAAAAAAAAGACTTCATCAGGTTTTCTTCATCTTACTCTCATAAAACAAATTGTTTCTACACAACTTCAATCCAAATGCACTCAGCACTCAAACTATAACAGAACAACATAATGAAGCGTCTTTTTAACTGCACCCTCAGCTTCTTTCAGTGTTATCGGATCGCCCATCACCTACTGGGGTTGTAAAAAAGGAAATTGATACCTGTTTCGATACCAGGGTAACAAAATTAGAAAACCAAGCCAACAATGTTTGCTAATTTCTTATTTTAATTTACCAAAAATGGCAGGCAAACTCCTGCACGCTGACAATTACAGAATACATTGGGAACATGTCTGTACTGAAGTGCACTTATTTGTGAAATATATCTCAGTGTCATCTCCTTGTAAAAGACAACAAAACATTTGCATCTTCACGAGAAGCCAAACAGACTGGAGAAATGTCAGTATCAGAGTATTTGCCGACCTGTGAGTTTGAATAGAGCATTACTGCTTCATCATTCACACAGAGCAACGTTTTGTTAAAAATATGACTCAAGTTCATCAAGATGAAGATGTTTGATACACCCAATCATTAAAAAGAGAACATATCCTTTTAAAAACACCTGGTATTGATAAGGTATTGAAAAAGTATCTGAGATTTTGTCAACCTAACCACCTACAGAGTCAACTTATTCAGAAAGTCTTTCAGCTATTTCATTCATCTCAACTGTAAACTTCTCGCTTCAAGCACATGTCCACATTCTGCAGAAATGTTCCCCATCTCAGCCGTATTTCTGTAATGTGTGATGTTACACACAATTTTAAAAGTCATGCATTTGAAAATCTACACACTGCTATACAGGAAGCACACCAGAGCAGTTGGGGGTTCGGTGCTTTGCTCAGGGGCACCTCGGCAGTGCTCAGGAAATGCCCTGGGACCTCTGGGTGAAGTGCAGGAAAACTGGCAGCATGAAGTAGAGGAAAAACAAAGGAGAAAGAACAAGATGGAAAAGAAAGAGAAACATCGGAACATTTGGAGCAATAGAGTAGTTGTAGAAAGATAAATGATGATTAAAAAAGTCAGACCATGTGTACTCACACACATTCACAATATTATATTATTAGCTTTCTAATGTTGTCTTTGATGTTTGTTTGTTGTGCATCAGTCATTTTGCAGAGAAATCAAGTTCATCAACATCTTTCAGTCTGTCACTAACATGAGCAGCTTCAGGAAATTAGTTCAGCCATCGGAGAAGGATACAGAAGTTAGTATGATGTGACAGCGGCTCATTGATTAGAGACGAATATGCTGATCTGACATCAGCCTCCAGCGCTCAGATACCTGCCCTCTGCTGCCCCACTGATAAGACCCAGCAGACTCTGTGTGTGTGTGTGTGTGTGTGTGTGTGTGTGTGTGTGTGTACAGCCAACAGATAGGTGCCATATTGACTTATTGAATGAAGATGCAAATCTCCATCTCACATCTCAGGCCTATCACATGGCTGTGGACAGAGATAAGAGTGTTGCAGCTGCAGAAGTGAACTAAGTTGGTGCGACGGTCGAGTGCCGACCTGACAGCAGCCGCTCGGAGTGAGTCAGTGATCATAAACATCCTCATTCTGCTGTATGAAGTCTTCATAGAAGTCATTTGAAAAGTGACTACCTGAAAATGAGGTGGTTGACTTTGAACTGGGTCTCGATCACGCCCGTCGTCCTCAGTCGTACACGCAGAACATCCGTCTCCGTGGGAACGTACTCTGTAGACGTGATGCGGATCATGTTCTCAAAGAAACTACGAAATGAGGAAGAGGAGGGGGAGAGGGAATGGCACAGAAGAGACCAAAAAGGGGAAAGGCAGAGGAGAAAGAAAAAGAAACAGAAAATAAATATTAACAAGCTGCAGACAAACTTGAGATCAAAAGAGAATAAAATCTGTTTCCAGTTGCAGGTGTGAAGATTTGTACAATATGTGTGTGTGTCGAGGTCGTGTCGTCTGCCAGGCAGCAGGGTGTGCAGCGATAAGGCTCGAGCCCCAGGAGGCGCAGCAGTTCATCACCATGAATTATAATTATATTAATATTCTCCCTGTGGTTTACCCTAATAACACTCTGAGGCTAAGCTTTCAAACACAGATTAGCTATTAACACTGCTACTGATCAACTGTATCATGAGTGTGTACACAGTGAGATGTGAAGTCTTTCTACACACACACACACACACACACACACACACACACACACAGTAACAGAGTAGGCTCTAGCTTCCCGTACCAGCTGTGACATTTTCTCCCAGTCATCCTAAATCAGGTTCTTGGACAGCGAGAAACATCCCGCTGCTGAAAACCACACACAGCCCGCCTGTCTGCCTGCCTGCCCACTGGACACAAAAACACTGAAGACCAAATGTTTGGATTTTCTCTTTCTCTCTCTTTCAGGATATTCTCAGTTTAGTTTTTGTTAAAAAAAATTGTTTTACCAACAAGTCCCACAGAGGTTTAAAATCCCTCTTTAAAGTAGAGACCTGGCCAAGGTAGCACCCAAACAAAAGTCACAACACATTAAAAACCAACTGAAATGACACTATATAGGAAAGTCAAACAAGTTTGAAACAAAGGCACTTCTTTATGATTCTCTTAAAAAGATATCAGTGTCTAACAGTGACAGTTTCCCCAGATCTGTCAAATTTCTGAGTACATTGAAGCAGCCAATGAGAAGATCACAACTGGTATCCAGTAGAGCGGAAATAGAGTTTAGAGAGTAACGCTGTGTGTGTGTGTGTGTGTGTGTGTGTGTGTGTGTGTGTGTGTGTGTGTGTGTGTGTGTGTGTGTGTGTGTGTGTGTGTGTGTGTGTGTGTGTGTGTGTGTGTGTGTGTGTGTGTGTGTGTGTCTAGGCAGAGGATAGGTGAGGGTGATGTGCACTCGTTCTCAGTGGGAACCAGGGAGCCTGTCGGTGTAGATAACCCAGAGTCGAGGCCTCTCATCGTGGCAGACGATGAGGACGGACGGCCTCCCGGTGGGTTCAGCTCTGCTTCACTTCTGCATCTCACACGCCATCTCTTCTGCACTTGTTTCTCATTTTCACTCTTCATTCTCACTTTTTTTTTTAATTTGATCCCTGCATCCTGTTTGTCCTTTATTTAAATACGCACATTTTCAACCTTCTCTGTGATCACATCTACTCAGTTCAGATCTTTTAAAATGCATTCACATGCACAGCCAAAACAAGTGCAAAACAAATATGTGTATGTATAATTTGAGTTATATATGGATGTATTTTATTGGCTGTAGAGCTACATGAAATTACACTCTAATTGGGTTTGTCTCCTTCGCTCTTGTCCTCCCTCTCTCCAGACTTTAATTCCCAGTGACAGCGAGCACACGGCCTGGCATCAGACAGGCCGGATAATTAGACCCCTGCATCTCCTGAGCACAGTACACACTGAGTGTTTGCTGGAAGAATACTCACTACAGAGCAGAGTCATTGAGCTCGTACTCGTATCCCCTGGATGCTGCGGCTCTCACCCCCTGGTCAGCCCACAGGCAGGAGAGGGCGTGGCCGAGGAAAGGAAACAGTACCTGATCTTCGTCAAAACATCGCCCACACGAGAGGACAGAATGAGCGTGGATCTGCAAGAAGAGACAGATATATGGATGGATGAACGTGTGGTCAGGGAGGATCAGAGGCCAAACGGAAAAGTTCAGGAGTCTGTCCCCACTCTGAAGATTTGATTGGTAATCAAAACAGATGAACAAATGAATGGATGTACAAACAAATACACACACTAGTGACATTTAACAAAGGAAATGTTTGGGTCATCATCTCCCAGCAGGATGTGCTGAGTGGGTGGAGAGAGTATGATCTCTAATAACTTTGACAACAAAGCTAAAATCAAATTGAAGTCCACAATCAAATCCCCACCCATTGTCTAACTTTTTTTTTTTCTCATGCAAACAAACTGCAGCTGCTGTGTTTGTGTTGCTGGATGAAGCAGCTGTAGCAGTGCTGCTCTCTAGTGGAGATCTGGGTGAAGTGCAGGAAAACTGGCAGCATGAAGTAGAGGAAAAACAAAGGAGAAAGAACAAGATGGAAAAGAAAGAGAAACATCGGAACATTTGGAGCAATAGAGTAGTTGTAGAAAGATAAATGATGATTAAAAAAATGAAAGTAAAGCACAAGTTTCCAGACATAGAGACATGTTGATGCAGACACATCAGGATGCACTACCTTATTTCTGCTGTTAGCCAGGTTGATCCTGAGGACGCCCATGCCATGTAGGACGAACTTCATGGAGGTCAGGAGGTTATCTAGCACTGCAGGCTGCCAAACACAAACAACACAAAGATCAAAGGTGATGTTCATGAAAAACCATGAGAACGAGACAAAATCAAAATCCAGACAAAAGCCTGGTTTGTGGCAAGTACACAAAAAACAATAAACTGTAGTGTTATATTTTATCTGGATTAACTAAACACTGTCCACTACTGATCAAGACTTTTATACTTTATGACTGCAATAGGTTAACATGTGATTAAATTGGGTTATGAGATGATCACGCTGAACCAAAAACAGTAAAGTTACGAGAGGTTATAAACTCAGGAAATCAGCTGAAGTAAACGAAATGTCTCGTGGAGTAAAGGCCGTCTGCAGTGTAGAGTCATCAGTCTCTGAGAGTTCATAATCTCCTCTCTCATTCATACAATACTATGTTTCTAAAACAATCCCATTTCTGTTGTGAATACAAATACAATGTGATGATTTGCAAATCATTAAAACACCCCCGATTTTAACTGAAAGTACCACAAAGACAACATATGAAATGTTGAAACTGAGAAATTTCATTGCCTTTAAAAAATAAATATACATGTATACAGGAACTGAGGAGACAAATATTTGAATTGCCTGGTCTGAATGCTAAAGGATCACAGCCATCCACAAATGTTCTGCCTTGTCCCCGACCCCTGCATACAGAGATTCCTTCAGATACTCTCAATCTATTAATGATATTATGTGTGTAGATTAGAACAGTGGTTCTCAACTTGAGGGTCGGGACCCAAAAGTGGGACACGGAGAAGATTCCAGTGGGCCCTGAATGTGTGCCTTGCAAAAAGATTGTGTCAAAAAGTCTGTGAGGCGCTTTTGAAACATGTCTCTTTGTTGTGGCCGATGTTTTGCACCGTCCAAGGTGCAACTGTTCATCACACAACTGTTCATTAAATGACTCTCATTGGTTGAGAAATATCAAGAATTTGGGTCACGATTTCTCGTAAAGGAGTTGCTGGTTGGTCCTGAGGATAGACCAGTTGAGAAGAACTGGTGTTGAAGATTAAAACCCCAAATTCTTTATAATTTTGTGTTGAGAAAACTTTTTTCTTGAACTGTTGTTCTATTTGCCTGCACGGTGGTGACCACTCCCCATCTTTACTTGAGAAAGACTCTGAGACCCTCAAACAGTTAACTTCCTGAACTGGGAAATGTTCCATTAGGTGTTTTTTCACCCTTTTCACCTGAACTCATCAGTTTTTTATAAAGACTGTCCCAACATGTTGCTGGCATCAAATTCTAAATGGGCATATCATTTTCCAAAAGCATTTACATTTCTGTTTCAACATTTGATATGTGCTCTTTGTGCTATTTTAATTTAAAAATGGGATTATGGAAAATGGGATATATATAACTTTTTTTTTTACAAATGATGTTTCTATTTCTAGCTATTTCTCCCAAATACATCAGTATTGGCCCCAATAATCACATATCGACCAGGCCCTACTTTTCATCAAATCATTGAATATGTTTTTAAGAAGGCTGGCCTTGAAAACAGCACAGGGATTTAATTACTTTTCATCCTCTTTTATGGTGTTCCTGAAATTGCTGTTCATATAAGTGAGCTGTATTTTGCATGTTTGCATCTATCACACCCAATGGGCCAGCTATCAAGCAGAATGTGAGAGGGAAAAGAACTGTAAACTCAAATCAATTAAAGCCATAACTCTCTTTCAGTGCTCAGGAGCTTTAAGACTTTAGTGACTCCTGCAGAGAGTTGGGAAATGTCAGTGTGTAAGTGTGTGTCAGCGTGTGTGTCTATTATACACTTTGTCTTTCTCTGCCAGCCAAAGATAAGCTTCACATTCCATCACAATTCCATCACAGTCTGGTTCCCTCTTCTCTCCGTGTGCGTGTGTGTGTGTTTCAGAGTCCAGATTGAAATGTGTTGCTCTCGCAGTGAAATGTGTGAGGTGAGATAACTCTGTGAGGTGACGGGGCTTCATCTCATGATGAGAGCTTGGCTGAGTGCTGCTGACACCACAGCATCAGGGACAAATTAGTCTCTTTAAGGAGCACCTTTGCTGACAGAGCATTGATTTGTGCCACCAATAAGCTGCTTTGTGCGTTTGTCTCCCTTTGCTCAATCATCACCGTCATCTTCTCAGAAATGCAGTTTCGATCCCAACAACACGAGTTACAAAATCATCACACGTTCTTTAAGATCCACAACAATTGTATAGGACGGCACAGAGAGTTCACACCTTTTTTTTTTTTTTTTTTTTTTTAACTATGCATAAGTCTCCGAAATCTGCTTTATTCAGAAAATACCAAACTGTGTTCAAAGGTTAAGAGACATTGTCAACCAAATCTACCGCCAACCACTGCCTGCTTAGCTGTGTCCTAGTGTTAGGGCCGGGTGTTTTCCACAACCCCACGATACGATACATATCACGATACAGAGGCCACGACACGATACATATCGTGATCTACATTGATTTGGGATAATGACCATGTCCTGCACAGAATTCTCTCTCGCTGTTCTTTCTTGTTGAGAATAACAGCAGAGGCATATTAAGGATCCTACAATTTAAAACACTTCAACTCAGGTCCTCAGAGATCCTAGAAATAATTTACATTCAAATATTTTAATCCCGGAGTTATGGCTATGGTGTTATTGTGAACTGCACCACAGGTCAATTGACTTGTAAAACTGTCATCACAGCTTTGCGATCGATTCTGTAACATCTGCATCCATACATGTATTTGCAAGGACCACATGATATTGCCATATTGATTTTATGAGCACAGCCCTACCTCCTGCTACGTGTGACTGAACAGTGCTGAAAGTGTTGTAAACTTTATGGTGGGCAGTGTTTTTAAATTGTACTGTCTCTCTTTGTATTTCCGTTTGTAACTTTGTGCTTTTGCTGCTGCCTGTCTTGGCCAGGTTGCCCTCGAAAAAAGGTTTTTAATCTTAATGGGACCAACCCGGTTACAGCTAATAGGCTGTACACAGTCCCTATCAAAATAAACAAATAAATGAATCATGAAGGCAGTGAAGGTTTAATGTAAAGTAAGTCAACCATTTTATATTAATGTTAATAAGCCAACATTGGCTTATTAGTACTAAATATAGATGAGAGCTGTAACTGTTATTAAGATGGTAATAGATGGTGACATAAACCAAAGACCATTTGTAACATTTAAAATGTTCCACCTGATGTTAATATGTTGATCAACAACCTTCTACTTTTAACAATCTTCTACTTAACATTTAATGGCCATCCATCATTTGATTGTAGAGAAATGAACTGAAATGCAATCTCATGTTGACCAGCTGTGGACTCACGAGCAACAGTAAGCGACGGTAAGATTTTCATTTTCACTGTTAATGCATATTTAGTTCTATATATCGGTTATCTGTGTCATGAAGTAATATGAATTCTATCAGCCCTAAAAAAAACAAATATCGGTCGACCCCTATACCTTATATAGCAGCTTCTGCCATCTGTTTTTTTCTCTTTGTCTTCAGTTAATTGGTTCACTCTTCTTCCTTCCTTCCTTCTTCTCCCTCCACTTTTGTCCTCCTTAACATTTGTTTTTAAGTTCCTCCCTCTCTGACTCAAAGCTGACTTTATAGTGTTGACAGGAAAGTGGATGGCTCAGAGGAAGATGCATGGATAAACCTCCCACGTCAGAATCAGGAAAAACTACTGACATTTTTGGAACGAGCTGCATGTGTGAATGCAAACTGCCAAATGTTTCGCTGCGACTTCATCCGGAGTTTCTCCTGCCAGACCCCGAGTAGAATTTATACAAGAAGTCAGCGAGCTGATGTGAGAACGCAGCAGGACATAATCAGGAAAACTCCAAGAGGGAGGGGGGAGTGATGTTTAGGGATGGGTAATAGTTGATGATATTTTATGAGTAACATGTCAGCACACGCGCACGTGTTGAAATAGACTCTAATAGTTCATCTTAGTTAGTGTTGTCTCAGTGAATGTACTAAGTAAAAACATAATAAACGGTACACAAAAGGTGTAACTTCTGCTACGGCTTCCTCGTAATTCAACATTCACAGCGAGCCGGATTACGACAACAAAACTGCTTTACGGCAGCTATGGTGATTCTCAAGGGACACATTATTTCAAAAGGCGAGAGCAAATGACAAAAACAAAACAATGGGGCGTTAAACATACATATCATAGAAATACTTGTTGGACTTCTAAACACATTAACCACATGGCCTTAAAGCACAAGGAGAAACCAGCGGAGACAGACAAACAGGCCGTCTCACTTCACATCATTTGCTGACCATGTTAGCACTCGTCAGTGTGATGATACCAGAGCAAAGATTAGCCTTATGTCCAGACAAGCTTATAATGAAATAACAAAAATGGTCAGGGTGACTGAAGATATGCTCACATTAGGTTTTGTGAGAGGAAAAGGCATCCGCGAACTGATGGCGTTTGTCAAGCCTCCATCATGGTTAACAACAGCTATGAGTTTTTGTTACTAGAGACTCGAGGACAGCTCTAACCACAGAGTCATCCGTTACCATCACTGCTCGTTTCATTCAGAACTGGGATTTAAAGACCGATGTTCTACAGACACGAAGTACTGATGAGTGACACACAGCATTAAAATAGCCAACTTTCAGGAGATTTATGAGTATTTGGATTACTGTAAATTCCCATCCCTGCTATAATGATGTTTATACCCTGTGATTGTTGCACGTCCATAGAGCGTGTGTTTCTGGATGGATGCAGAATATAGTGGAGCATTTTTAAGCAGCTGACTTTAAGCTGAGACATTTTAAACCCAAGAGATCCAGACTGACCTTTTTCTTTATTTTAAATGAGCAATGTTGTCTACACACTCTCTCACACACACCCTGAGGCCACAGGTGTGTCATTGTATGGTAATCTGAATCTACCATCAGCTATACGTCACCTACTGGGAAAAGTATAGAGTAAAAAGACACCGAGGTTTGGCTGTGTGTGTGTGTGTGTGTGTGTGTGTGTGTGTGTGTTATTTTCAAAGGAAGTCCAACAGACAGAACTTCTCCTTTCCCTTTGTTTTTCAGGATACACACTCACAGCAGTGTGGGAACTCTCTGCATTAGGGGAGATAACACAAACTACATTACAACATTGTTCCCTCTTGATCTCTCCGGATACACTGCACTGTGTGTCCACCATGGATCATCTCTGTGAACAAAGAAACAAACAGCCGAGAACAGTTGTCTTGCCTATGAGAATTACAAAAACAAAACAAGAAAGAGGAATGTGGCTGAACCAGCGAGGGCTTTTTCATTTAATCATTAACCTCAGACTGCTCTGCTAGCAATGAATATCCAAGAAGAACACGCGTGTTTGTAGATTTAAGCTCCACCAATTTCACAAACTAAATCCCGACTGCCATACCAGGTGAGAAAGCTCCAAGATTCATGAAATGAACTGGAACAGTATGACAAATACTCACAGAAAAATCTGAAACAACAAAGATCCAGTTCATCAGAGTTATCCACACCAAAATGTGCACACACACTACACACACACACACACACAACCACAGCATTAGTTTTGTTGACACAGAGTTGTGTGTTTTGGAAGAGAATGAAGGGAGAAAATCTCAGTCCATCAGACTGTTCACAGCAAAAACAACACCTCGACCTCAGCCTGCAAATAATGAAGGGATGAGACAAAGAGGAGCCCCTTCCCTAACGCTCCTCCTCTTACTCCTCTCAAACAGGCTGTCCTGTCATGATCCTAGTCCAATACAAAAGAGATGGAGAGATTTTCTCACTCTGCCTTCAGGGGGAATTTGGAAGAAAGTAGAGCTTTGAGCGGGGGATAACTTGTCCTGTGGCAGACAGGGTTGAGATGTTTAAAACAGCACTTGTGGACACACACACAGGACGTTAGAGTTACACACAGGTCTAATAGAAAGTATTGAATGAGCTCATGTGGAGGGTGTGACTGTGTTTGCTGTTGGAGGTTGGGATGGTCAGGGAAGGGAAGGGTTGTGGGTTAGTGTCATTTTCCCTTCCAAATAAGGGCGTCACCTGAGAACAAACACCCAGCTAACTGACAAGGGAGACGACAAAGAGATTTGACGACTGGCGTTACGCTGAGTGGAAATGCATGTGTGCACATGTGAAATATCTTTGTGTATTGATTATGTAGTTAGAGAAATGCAACTTTAGGCAGTTCTGAAATCTGTTGCCGATAGATTTAGCAGGAGAGAGCAGTTTCTGATCCTGGAGGGACATCAGTATTTATTTTTGACCTTATTATAATACAACCCCATTAACTAAAAAGTTGGGAAGCTGCATGAAATGTAAATAGAAAGAGAATGTGATGATTTGACACCTGGTGTTCGATTGAAAATAGCAAATTAAAACATATCAAATGTTGGAAGTGATACATTTCAAGTTTTGGGAAAATCAGAGCGGGATCTTCTGGCACAACTTCACCAACTTCACAAGGTGCATGAAGAGTGAACGGCTTGAAGAGATCAAAAAGCTCCAACAACACGTGTACTATGAAGATCAACTTTATTAACTAATTTGACCGACGCGTTTCGGCTTGTGGCCTTCATCAGGGTGATCCGGTCATTTGTTAATAAAGTGGATCTTCATACTACAAGTGTTGTTGGAGCTTTTTGACCATGTTTTTGAAAAATGTCCATTGTGAATTACATGCCAACAACTCGTTTCCAAAAATGTGGGACAGTGGCAACAAAGACTGGAAAAGTTGTGAAATGCTTTAATAAAAAACACCTGATGGAACATGTCACAGTTAAAAAGGTTATCTTTCGACTGGTTAGTCACATAATTTGGAGTAGAAGTGCATCGCAGGAGGCCTCAGAAGAAAGACAAGGCACGTTTGTTTCTATAGCACATTTCAGAAACAAAGAAATTCAAAGTGCCTTCTGAGGTTCAACACTGTGCTGTCTAATAGTGTAACACTTGAAGGATAATGTTTTGAACATTAAATTGCATAGAGTCCGTCATGTTGTCTTTGCGTTGTTTCCAATCAAATGTGGGGTATAAATGATTTGAAAATTACATTTTACACAGCGGCACAACTTTCTTGGGAGTTGGGGTTGAACTTTTTCAGTTAGTGATTTTATTTAAGTGTTGGCTGAAACATTTTGTGTTACTTGTTGTCATTTTGAAGCCCTTTGTCTGGACAGTGCAATGAGCTGAAAGTGTTATAACTCAACCATATGGCTAGATTTAAAAAAAAGGTTTGGCATTGTTAGCACACGGTTCTATGAATTGTCTTCATTACTTTGTTTTATGACCAGAAACCTGCTAAATGAATGTCACTACCAAGCAGCAACATCTTGTGTGACAAATGAAGCCATTATTTTACAAAATGAGACTGTAGACAAATGATGACTGAAAACGATTCCTTTAGGGGCTGCAGAAATATGGTATTTCATATCCAGCCATGCTAAAACATTTTAAGTGTAAAAAGTTCCTGCTCAGTAAGTGTTACCTTTCCTCCTTCAGTGCAATATCAGACAGTATGGTGTTGACAGGACAGTGAAGTAGAGACCATGGTCGATATAATACCAGAATTTTAAACTTAGATACGACAAGACGAGTAAAAATCAAACAATATCGACAGATGTTACAATACCACAGGAACAGTCTAGCCAACCTTATATTGTGCAAGTTCTTGTTTTTAATTTTAAAAAATTGTAGACAAACTCCTGCACAATGTCTAAAATGCACAAATACGGCATCGGCATTGTTTGGGTGCCGAAAGGTTGTGATGTTAAAAAAAAAAAAAAAAAAAAGACTGAAGATCCGCAGTTTAATCGATCTTTAAAATAATGGAGATTGTTTCAAAACACGTGGCATTAAAAAATATTGAAGTAGCTAAAATGTTGACAGCCTTAGTGCAGACAAGGTATTAGAGAAGCAGAAGACGGACAGAGGAGAGCACAGGGGGAACAGGATGCGTCTTTAATATCTAAGAACGCATTGAAACACTGCAGCTGCTCAAACAAACAGCTGGGACCTTCATAAGTCATATCTGTGTGAAAGAGCAACATCTCGGCCAGTGGGCAAAGCTTTAGTCTTTTTTATCCATGTGATGTAGATCCTATCAGCAAGGTAAACACATAAACAGCAAACCTTTAATTCAAGCATTTTGGTCTGATTAATGAAATAAAGACAGTGTGAATTTGTTAAGGTGGAATAAATCTGGGACTCTTCATAAAGTTTGCTGAATTCCACTCACAGGGTTGTTATTCTGCAGCAGGTAGCTGAACCATGATGAAGGCAGAGAAAGGCCTTTTCTGTCATCACATGCTCATTTATGAGAAACTGAAAGAAGGGGCAGGGGAAGAAGAAGAGGACAATATACAGACTAGCAAAAGAGGAAAGGTCAGAAAGTAAAAAAAAATATGAGATAAGAAGGAGGGATGTGGAAGAAAGGCTGTCAGGAAAAACATGTGCGTGGTTTGTGTTGAACCATTCTGTTTCACCCCCCACCCCATCTAAACCCTGCATACAACAGAGGAATTTGGCGTTGCTCTCTCTCTCTCTCATTCTCAAACACACACACAGCGAGGAGGGAATGTGAGCCAAACCACTGAATACCATCATTGGATCTGACCCTGGATATCATAAGAAATCTCAGTCTCCCAAAGGCATCGCCTCAACTTCCATCTCATCTCTATCGCCTCTTCCACATTTTCACCGTCATCCAACTTTCACTTGAGCCTTTTTGACCTCTTTAAAATTCAATCAACGAGGGGCAATTAGACAAAGGCCCACTGATCATTTTAAATCATTGGTTCGTTCTGTTCGACTTCCCTTGATTATGACAAAGAATGATAATATCTTTCCTTGTGAACAAACATTACGCCAAGACCACTGTATGCTAATAGACTGTGATCTGATAAGGGTCACTGTTAGCCCAAGTGTGTGTGTGTGTGTGTGTGTGTGTGTGTGTGTGTGTGTGTGTGTGTGTGTTTCCAACCTTGAAGCTGGTGAGCTCCTGCTTGGTGAATCCATTGCTGTGGATGATCTTCATCTGTTTGACCAATGTGCTTTTACCGCTCTCTGCTGCACCTACAGCAGGTACACAGTGGTTAAAGAGGTTCAATGAATACAAATGAATAAAGTATATCAGAATAAAACAATACATCTTTTCATCTGTAGTCAGGTTTGATTATTGAATCACTGAAGCTGTCTCAACCAATAGGCAGCAGTACTGATGATACACTTTGCATCCAGTGGACCTTCATGTCTTCACTAAGTGAGGGACACATCCGGTTAAGGACACTGGTAGAGCTGATAATCGGTGTGATAGCCTACATGAGCACACAGCCAGGTAGGCTTAAGGTGAGTTCATTTAATGTGGAGTCTCACCTAGCAGCAGTATTTTGACCACATTCATCTCCTTCTTAGCGGACTCGTACAGCTCCCTGTCTATCTTGGCGCTGTGGATCCTCGCCTTCTTCTCCTCCGTGACTTCGGTACCGAGACACAGTCCCATCCTGAGCGCTCATCTCCTCCCCGGCCCCGGCCTGAGAGGTGAGCTAAAGCAGGGAGTCAGGACCGGGATCAGCCCAGTTTGTTTGTATAAGCTGCATGCTCCGAGCTCTGCTGCAAAACTACAGCGACCACGAAAGTGAACTCTCTAGGAAAAAAAAAAGAGGCCATATCCAAAACATCCTCCGAACTTAAGCCGTCTGCACCAAACAAAACTCACACATCGCCCCCAGAGTTTCTCTTCCTTGTCATTGGCAGATTTTTAATGGGTGGTAACTTTTCAGCGACTGATGAAAACAGCTCGGTGTTATGTCACTGTGCGCCACGGCGGTTTGAAACTGCTCTGCCGCCTTGGCAGAGTCCCCAGATACTCCTGAAAGGTGCCTCCTCCTCCCACAGAAGCCTGCTGCCCAGATGGAAAAGTTTTGGACTTCCCTGGGAAGTGACGTGCCTGGGACACAAACTGCTGAGGCTGCAATTCCAAGTGTAACACCTGTAACCCTGAATACGTCCATGTTTATCCGTTTTTGCGTGGCAGGGATGTAGAGTAAATGAGTACAATTAAACAAAACTGTAATTGTACTTTAGCTGCAGTGGGATAACTCGCAACTTCATAACTTAGCCTGTATGTTAAATATGATAGCCTACGTTATCATAAGATCATCAGGGCCCACAGAAACACAGGTGTTAGTAATTACTGCAGCTGATTAGAGGTGCCCAGGTGATGATGTCATCAAAAAACTCTAATAACGAGAGTTGACTGTTACACTACTATGATTAAAAGTCATTCTGTGCTACATATAACTATAATATATAGAAATATAATTAATAACAAAAAAATAACAAGTATTTTAATTTCTATAAAACCTTTTCTCCTGAGATCTCTGTTTCAATAATGATTTCCCTATTTATGGACGCATCTCTGTTGGTTTATTTAGTTTATGTTTTATATTTTTATTTTATATTATTCATATTCCTTCATTTACTTTCCCGTATGCAGCCTACTTTATGCAATTAAATTATTTCATCCATTTTTCATTTGATTTACATGTGCTGCTGTCTTTGACCTGAAATATGTGTACATTATTTTTTGAATAAAATAATTGGAAAAAAAGTCATTTTGTGCACACACACACACACTCAAGGGTTTATTATTTACCAGAAAGTAAAACAAAACAAAAAAACATGGAGTATGGGTATTGGATTTGTATGTTCATGGATGGTTTGACGTGTTTTAGATTCAGGAGCCCTGAAGATATGATGGTATTTGAAGATTTGAGACCCAAAAACAAGTAAATACAGTATTTTGTTTTAATTTTCCCCGCCATGCCCTTCATAGGGAGCCTACATTTTTTAAGAACTTCTCCAACCCACTTTCTTTTGCAATGATATTCAAATTGTAAAATGAAAATGAAAGCTTATCCATACAATTTCAGAGCTCTTTTAATATTTACATCAACACTGCATGTGTCTGAGTGGGAGTCCCTGACAGAAGAAAGTCCATAGTCTGTTATATCCCTCAGCTGAGTGACTCCTCTGGGGCCCTGGACCCGGCAGATTAAAGTCTCTTTGTGTTTGTAACGAGGTGACGGTTTGCTGTTTTTTGTTTCAATCCGAGAGCAGCATGAGTGGAACAGGGCGGCTCAGATTTAGCAGTTTCTTAGCGGCTGTGGCCTCATTTCACTGATTCACTGAACTGTGAAAATGTGCTGAATCTGCTGATCCAACAAAGATCTCTGTCATCAGGCTGCGCACAGTACACACACACACTGCTGTAACACGGACATCAGGGGACACTTTGCAATATGAGAGTTTTATTTATTAAAAGGGAGATTTACACATTGTTATATAGTGATTGAGAGGTTTAAAATTCTACAGTATTAGTAAAGTGAGTCCTGAGCCTGCCACCAACACATGACGCACAGAATCATATGCCCCATACAACAGAAACAGTAACAAACAGTGAGCTTCGACAATGCATAAGGTTTGCAGAAAAAGTTAGACAACTGGGTCCCAAGTATTTCAGCTCTTGGGTTGTCTTGAAATGAGAAAAGAGGACGTTCTAGTTTTCTAAAAAACTCAATTTTGAAAGTGGACTGAGAAAAACGTAAAACGCTTCTTTAACACTAAAACATTAAAATTTCTCTCTGGATGTTTAGAGAGATTCAGCAGGATCAGTTGTTGTATGTGTCAGGTTTTTTTGTCCAGGAAGATCTGTTCTAATCCCATTAGTTTGAAGGAGTCTGTATAGATGGTGAAGCTTACACAGCATTGTGTAACACGCACACACACATCACAGGATTTTGTACATAGTGGACTTGTAAAGATAGACTGGCTTTACAGGTCGTCTCATGAAGGCGCAGTTTACATCGACATAGACATCTGTCGTGGTCAGTTGAGTCCATCCTCTTAAAGCTAAGTGCACATAGAACCAGGTCCGAGGTGTCACTAGTGAGCAGCCTCAGCTGCAGCCTCACTCTGATCCTGCTGCTCTTTCCTCTTCATTGCCTCGATCACCGCCATCTCCTTGGCCTCCTTCTTTTGGTTCCTGGCCTCAAACTGCAGCCTGGGAACAAGCAGAGGACAGTAATCAACCAGAGGTGCAAATATTTAAATTGGACAGAGTTCATTTAAAAATGGAGGTGTTCCTGACCTGTTTTCAATGATTCTCTGGACAATGGTATCAGTGGTGAGATTATTCCCAATGTCAATTGTCCTGAATATCCCCCTCTTCTTTGGCTCCTGAGGGAAGAACACCAATACTTTAATCAAAAGGCAAAAGGTCCCCTCTTATCCTTTGTGAATGAGGGTCTTAATAGATTTACCAAAGAGGGAAATGTTAGAAAGTCTGAAGGTTAAAGATGTAAAAATAAACCAATCTGAATTGGTGAACAGACTTGAAGATCAGACTGCATCAGTCCACAGAGAACTGTATAATTAAAAATGCAACATGAACTAGTTGAACAGTTTTCTTAGCTTGTTCTGCAAACTCTGCTCAGTGTCTTTAATCTCACAAGACTCTCATGTTGACCCTTTTACCTAAGTATGTGCCCCCAGCAGCAAGACAAATCTCAGGAACGGCAGGGCTAAAAACATGTAACACTTTTCATCTGACAACTGTGACAACTGGGCAAAGTCTCTGGCTGTCATGGCATCAACAGTCCCTTTTATTTCTGAGGCTTACAACTGTACCGTGTTGTTGAGAGTGATTGCTTGTGAAAGGGTTAAAACGTGATTTATTTTATTTAAGTTCTATTGGATATCAATTTATGAACAAAGACAAACCATAACAGTGAGATGCAGAGCGAGTTCCAATAATGATGCTTAAATGTCATGTAGACTTCATGTTCACAATCAAGGGGAGACTAATGTAAATGTTATTATTTTAACACAACAACACTGCTTCTGAGCAGAGCTCTGTGATTTGTCCTCATCTCCTTTTAGTGTTCAAATGGCTTTTAGTGTACCGAATCCAATCCAATCAAATCAGCAAAGACAGTAAAACAAAACAACATTATTGTGAACATGTAAGGTATGGTGTAAAATGAAGGCAATCAAACAATAAAGTCTACACTTCTGTGAAGGTAATGGGCAACAACTTAAGTAGTGTCAAAGATGTGGTCCAGGAGAGGTCATAAGGTCAGGGATCTATTTCAGAGCCAGGTAGTGTCAAAAACAATTTTAAAATTGAACTGACCAGAACTCTGTTCTCTATCGAGCGGTACTCAGATAGAGAGGAGAGCTTGTACTCACAGCGTAAGGGTCTGAGGAATCCTTGTCTGGAAACACTTCTGTCTTGCCGTGACACACCAGGTCCACCTGCACAGAAACACAAACACACCCTGTTAAACCACCCAGCATGTACAGGGTTATATATGACATTATTGTTGCAAATACTTTTATCTTCCTTGTTCTCACCTCACTGTTTTACATTTTTCACACGTAGTTCTTTAGTGGCTCACAAATAAACTGGTGTCTGTGCTTAGTTTTTCCAAAAGGAAATGATTCCTAGTCATCGTTGAACAAAACTCATCTAGTTCTGAGCTGAAAGAGGCCCTTTAAGCAGCAACAATATGAGTAACATGTCAACAACAAAAACATAAAGCAGACATTTTTTATTTATCTAAGGTTTGGAGATACGGATGACTGCAAGTTCATTATCTATTAAAGTAGATGTTTTTCCTTCCGTCCACAAGGGGGCGCCACATGTTTCAGTTTGGGCACTTCAGTAGTTGCACTCTACATAAATAATGTTTTTACATTAAGGCCAAGTATTGTTTTAAAAACGTAGAAAAATAAAAGTGCTCAAGATTTTATTTTATGTAGAATTTTGATTACAATGGAAATGTGCTGGTTGTCTTTTTTAATACATAGTAAGTCTTTCAGAAGCTTTCTTGCAATCTTTCCACATCAACACTCATCCCCAAAGTCAAAGACAGAGAGAGAGAGAGAAATGGAGAGAGAGATAGAGAGAGAGACGAGCGACTCAACTACTGATCCACAGTCACCCCAAGGCCAGACCTCAGAGTATCTGTGACCTTTGTGTCTGTACAGCAGCATTTTAAATTTTCAAAAAGGCCCTCCCTAAATCTTTAAATCTAAAGAAAAAACAAAGAAGTCAAGTCTTCAAATGTAACTCACCTTGAAGTGATCCAACAGGTCTTTGCCCACCGCATAGGGCGCTCCAATCACCACCTCTCCCACGTACTATACAGAGACAGACAAGAACAATAATAAGTCATTTGTGATTTTTTTGTAATGATTAAGCTTTTCATGCAGTGCAAATGTGTTCTTATTGTTTACTGGTTAAACTTAATCTCTTCTTCATCATTGGCGTGGATTAAAAGTGAAGACACGTTTGTTTTGTCTAATGTTCTAATAAGTGCTTTTAACCTTCACACACACACACACACAGTACAGAGGGGGGACAGAGACTGTACTGTGTTGTTCAGATAGCTGAGCAGCAGGAATGGAGGAATCAGAGCCAAGTTCAGGCTTCAGTACTGTGAGCATGCATGTTAGAAATACATCCAACTGTGCTAAATGTTTAAAGGTCTGTGAGGACTTACCCGACAGGCCAGCACACTCAGCGTCCTCTCATGGATGTTCATGATTGGATAGTTCTTCCCCTTGTACCGATTCACTTCCTGAGAACAGGTTAAAACACTTCAATCAAAATCACAGAAGGGTTCAATTATTGTCTAAAACTGCAAACAGTTCAGAAGGACGTCTTTCTTATAAACAGTAAAAATGTCTCAGCCACTCTCACCTGAACTTGTCTCAAAAACTTGTTCCACTTATCTTAAAAAATGCATGTGTGTATGTGTGTGTAATTAGATGTACCTGGTCAAAGTGCAATCCTACGATGACGTAGGGCCTCTCCGCCTGCTTATAGACCATCTCTAAAAAGTCGACATGTCCGATGTCTGCAAGGAATATGTGGTCAAGGCAAAAACAACTAAATGTAGCAGATAATAATCTTCACAAGTGTTCATAGCTCAGTCAGATCCGGTCATTCCTGCACGATAAGGATACGGAACAGGTCGAATGCCCCGGCCACATAGATGATGGTGTCTCCGGGCTGAGGCTCCTTTCCTGAGGCGAACTGGATGATCTTCTGGGACGTCTGGAGGAACTGAGACACTCCTGTCCATGGACTGTGGCCTTTAGGACCCTTGAACCAACCAGAAGACAAAAGCTTAGAACTAAGAAAATGTAATAAAAGCCAGCTCTGAGTTGCACCAGCTGTGGGTTTATTCAAACGTAGCCTTGTTTGAATGTCATTTCTAATTTAGGATGGAGTTTACCTACTACTAACATTTAAGGTGTTGACCAGCTATAAGATAGTTTCAACATAGGAAGTTACAACTCAAGTCTTACACCTAGCTCCTGGGAGGTGTAAAGTCCATTTGGTTGTTATGGTGAATCGTTTTGAAAGATGAGGGATGAGGAGGAGCAGAGGGGTTTTACCGGCTGTTTGTGTCTGCACTTCATTCACCAATGAGAGACTGAATCCTTTAGAAATGGAAGATGACTTTTTTTGTACTCCTGCTTTTGTTTTCAATGAGCAGAGCCAGACACGCAATAAGAGTGATGTTAAATTACCTTAAATTGTTGGGGGCGCCGGTAGCCTAGCGGTTAGTGCGTCAACCCCGTGTACAGAGGCTTAAGTCCTCGAGAGCGGGTGGCATGGGATCGAATCCGCCCTGTGGCTCCATGTCGTTCCCCACTCTCTCTCTCTCTCTCTCTCTCTCTCTCTCTCTCTGGTTTCTGACTCTATCCACTCTGTCCTATCTCTAGAATAAAGGCATAAAAAGCCCAAAAATAAATCTTAAAGAAAATATGTATTACTTTTTGTTGTAGCTGAAGATTTTCACCACTTGATGATGCTGTTGATATTCTACACTCACTGTTAAAGGCACCAGAGGCGACACTGTCAAAAACACTACACCAAGAGAAAAGCTTTTCACTGATTGGTCACATGAATTGAAACGTCATTACTGCGACAATATTTTGGTTGGATTGGGCGTTAGGCTCTCCTACTTAAGATGAACCTTTCATCCCGAGGTGTAACCAAACAGTGACACTTCAGTTAAAAACTAACTAGATTAAACTTTGCACCATAATTTAAGACAGCGCTTATAAAGTGCTGCTGCATACAGGCCACAGTTCCATTAGTTCCACTAGTATCAGATATCTTCTAGAATCATGTTTCATTTACAAAGTTTAATTTAAATAAAAGTTAAGTAAAAGTGCTACTTACTTTCCCAAAGTTGTCTGTATGCTGCTGGTAATCTGGGGTATCCTGCACCAATCATTAGGGGAGGAAAACAAACAAATCAATCATTGCTCAGACACTTAATAACGTGTACACACACATAGAGACTGAAGCTGAAATCAGAATTGTATATAGAGGAGTTGAAGTGACTAGACTTAACTTTAGACTTTACTTTATTGTCCCCAAGGGGAAATTCTTTTCCACTTCACAGTACAGTTATGGACAGCACACGACAGATAATCACAGATGGACAAACACAACAAGATAACATGCATACAAATATATAGACAGAGTGCGACTGGGGTGTTTTTATTTTGGCCTTTTGTTGAGGGCTGCTATACTGCAGGCACCAGGCTTGTGTGTGGCAATGCCTTCATATACAGCCTTAGTATTGAGACTGTTACCATACATCAGGACTCGCTCTGGCTACATGTGCAGCAGTAAATACTGTTGGAAATGTAATGAAGCACACAATAATGCCTAATAAAAGCTGCTATCATTGTTTAATATTTGGTATGAAAGCAGCTTATCTCACCATGTTGCTGTGATGGGCTTTGGTCATGAGGAGCATCCGTCCCACAAGGTCGGTGGTGGACACGCCCTGTGTGCGTCTACATTCCCGGTAACGGCCCTCGCGCTTCACCTCCTCATACGTGTCCTTACCATCGACCGTCAGTGTGATGTCATCTGGTCAACAAAAACATTGATGTTACTCCACGATCACATGTGTTGGTTTGTTCTGAGCTCAAGATAACTCTCTGTGTGTGCTGAGGACACGAGGCAGGGGTCAAAGATTTGCCCTCTGCTGGCTCACCTCCGTGCACGCAGAAGTCACAGTTGTATTTGTCCAGAGTCTCCAGCGTGGTGACGTAGGGTGCTCCTTCTACTATCTCATCCACCCACTTAATGGCCCGCACCATCTTGTAGCGTTCCTCCTGAGTGAAGACCGGGGGGCCCTTGTGCTTAGAGATCTCAGCTTTAAATGAAGAAAAAAGTGATCTTTTGTAATGACTGGCACATCACCAACATCTGGATTGACCCTGAATAACTGCTTATCTACAGCTATTTTACAAAGCAGATGTTCCACTAACTTTCTCTCCAGTTAGTTTTATTTTCTTTTATGTTTCCAACTACAACATATTTGACATTTATTTAAGACTTTTTCTGTGCATGCCTTTTACAGCTATTTGCAGAGCAGCTACAAGAGATGAGAACAGCTGGCTGGTTTTACAATTGATATGTGGTGACTGATCAGAAAGTGTAGCAGGCCTAGTTGTGTTTCTATTATGGGGATCAAACATTATAATATCATCAAAGAAAGTGTTCTAGTTGAGTCATTCTTTCATTCAAAGCATGAGACACTCCTCTGATTGGTTCCATGACATGAGCTTATAATGATGTTAAATGGAAAGTAATTCCAAATGACATCAATGAATAAACACAAAGTGATGTGTTTTACTTCATTATATAAAATGAGTATTACTAACTGTTTAATTTTAGTTATGAAAAATAAACAGGAGGGTAGTTTAGTGAACGTTTGCAAAGAATGCAGATGTTATATTGATTTGTAATTTTACCGTATTGAATTTGTTGAATTACTACAGTGCAAATGAATCCACAGATCAGCGTCTATGTTAATATTTTGAATCAGGCAGTCATAAAAAATGGAAACACAGAGAAGAAAGAGTTTATAAAAAATGTCCATTAGAACAAGTAGAAACAGAGGTCCACTTCCTCGTCATCTGCTCGCTGTATGAAGCTGTCAGAAAGAGCGTCCTGAGCCAGGTCACAGACACAGAGCCACACGAGGATCTAATGAGACTACGTTCAGCACACGAGCATCAATTTATACTTTCAGCCACACAATTTGTAAATGACTGCTACCTTTTAAGACAAGACGGGTAGTTTGTTCACTTCATTTTGATTATTTTTGTAATAATTTAATTGTAATTGATTTTATTATATTTTTTGTATTTTTGCATATGTTTATATGTATCTATCGAAAAGTGTATTAAATAAGATATAACATAAGTGTTAACTGTTTTATATGTTATATAATTGTTGATTGTTTTGATCATTTTTGGCTTGGTAATAATGGTTATAACCCTTCATGCCAATAAAGCATCTTGAACTTGATCTTAAAATATGCTGGAGTGAGTGTAGTTTTAAGACAGATACCTTCAAAAACCTTCAAACACATTTGAGAATTACAGGACGCTTACATCTATTACAAAACCGTGTTTATCACAAGAGACATGATTCTCAGTTTCTGTCTTTCATTACCCTGGTGTGTTGTCTCTTGCCTTGTGCAATGCTGTGTTTATTTAGATTTTATCAACATTAATGCTGTTGTTCTTTGTCTGTAGAGAACATAAAGTCATTCACAGCTGAGTAAGAGTGAAAATTAGTGGTTGAAAATAGACCTCACAGACGTATCGACACCAGGATGTGTGTTTGTGTTTGGCCGGCTTACCGTCTGTATGCACGCCGACTATGAGGTAATCTCCCATGGCTTTGGCCTGCCTCAGCTGGTTGGAGTGACCATAGTGAACCATGTCATAACTGTGGAGAAAGAGAGAAGAGACAATGAGCTCATCAGCGAGGGAACGAGAGACACTGCCTGAATGACTCAAACTATACATTACAAACAACAAATAGGGATTTGTCCTTAACAATTAGCATATTAATGATCTTTTAAAGTGCTCTCAGCAGGTTAGCACTGATTGACTTCTTAAGTATCACTGTTTTTTTTGTCTTTCCTTATCTTCATTTTATTCCCTTCTCATGAAGACCCTGTAGTTCAGAGCACAACGTGCAGTCTTTGTTTTAAATCAAGCATTTTAAACCCTTAAACACAGAGAGATTTTTTTTACTATTGTGGTTAATAACGCTAAAGTTTACTGGGAGAAAGGTAATGACCAGAGGAACCACGGGTTGGATGTGCTAATGTTTATTTACTTTCTGCTATTCAGTAACTTCTGTAGTTAATGTTTGTAGTGCCGTGACTTTTTAAAAATGGAAGCCAATGTGTGTTCTCCCATATTAAAAAAAACAAACTCAAAGTATAAACTGAATTAACACCAAGTCTTTTTGGATCAATTCATTCTGAGAAAATTCTTCTCTTCAGGTCCTTGTAGAGATGTTCTTCACCTCCAGTAATGTTTGTTCAGGTTTTTAATGAAGATGTTCTTTTTTTTAGTGCCCTGCAGCTTTACATTTTTAAAACAACTCAAGTGACAGGATGGTCCACTTTCTGCAAGAGCTGAGCAGCTGGCGGTGTGGAGCTCAGAGTATGAAAGGAACCAAGAGTAATATGAGTAATATCTCACTAAGATGACTGATGTTAGTTAAACCAATAAACTGTATTGAGTGACAGTGAGAGGAGATAAATATAGAGTCAACTTCCAAGACGCCATTACTCAGACCTGTACACCTCTATTTCACCATTATGATCACACTATTGTATTTCTGGGTTTCTTTAATAAAGATCTCATCCGTCTGTCACTGTGCTTCCAACGCGCAGACCTCTCCTCTATAATGACATTACCACAAGCTGTTAGTGTGACTCTCTTAACCATAATCCCCCGACATCCCTCACCTCACCTGGACAGGATCAGCTGGACACTTAGCTCACAGTCTTCTTGTTTAGTGTGAGGAACATTTAGATCAGAGTTTGTAAAGTCATGATTTTACATTAATAATACTTTAAGGACAGTTATAGTGTTGGAGAAAAGAGAGTAACACAGCTTAGTGATCCCTTTTTTTTACTGGTTTGCTTTTGGGTTGTTTTCTGTAAGACAGTGTACAACTGTAAACGTATTTCTCTCTTAAATTTAATTGAATGGAGTCAGAAAATAATAAAAGAAGAACATGTGTAGAAGCCTGGAAGCTTTCAGAAAATGTTATAATCGTGCATATCCTTCAAATAACTAGACAGAACAGAAATGTATTTTAAGAATAAATTTTTTTCAGCGCTCACCTATGGTCGTGAGCTATGGGTAGTGACCGAAAGAATAAGATTGCGGATATTAATGGGCAAAATGAGTTTCGTCAGGAGGGTGGCTGGGCTCAGCCTTAAAGATAGGGTGAGGAGCTCAGACATTTGGGGGGAGCTCGGAGTAGAGACGCTGCTCAAAAGGAGCCAGTTGAGGTGGTTTGGCCATCTGATTAGGATGCCAACTGGACGCCTCCGTTTGGAGATTTTCCAGTCATGGGGTTATACCAGAGTTTGTGTTGGAGGGGTTATATATCCTGTCTAGCCTGGGAACGCCTCGTATTCCCCAGGAGGAGCTGGAAAACTTTGCTGGGGAAAGGGAAGTCTGGGTTGAGTTACTGCTCTTGCTACCACTGAGACCCGACCTCGGAAAAGTGGAAGAAAATGGTTGGATGGACACTTTTTTTCTTTAGATTCCCTGATTTCCCTGATTTGGTGTCCCCTGAACCCACAAATAGTACAAAGTGTTAAGTTAAGATATCAAAACATGAAATAAATACATAAGTTCTTCTAAACGAACAGCCCTATAATATTCAATCTAAACAGCTTTGCCAATCTGCTGCTCTTTTTCTCTCTTGTCTCATACCATTTCATCTATCACACAACGTCTCACCTCTGACCTATTCGGACCCATCAAAAAGAGGGAACCCCTGTCCACCACACCAACATGTTGCTTTTCATCGTAATGAACGACATGTGCACTATGTTGGTTATTTATAACCACCAGTCCACCACATGAGATGACAAATATGTCAGACCAGCTATCAGCAAACTACTCAACTGACCACTTCCCTCTGCAGCCAGAAGGTCCACACAAGAAATGAATGCACAGCATGATTCAAGTCAGTTGTGACTTCAGCTCCAAAACGATGAAAAAGTAAAGCTTACAACAATAAAATGACAAGACATAAGTTTCTTACTTATAAATGTCACTCACAACCAACACAGAGATGCTTGGGTCATACAGACAGACAGACAGACAGACTGAGTAAATTAAGGTCATTGTGTTCCCAAAATTCCCCAAATAAGGTCAATACAAAACAAACATAAGCGACTGCTTCTAAGGTTCCTACTCAAGGATCTTTCTCACTACTAACCAGAGTCTGTTTCCGGTATGGATATGGTTTTACACACCGTAATATCCTTCATAACCTCAGCCTCACCATGAGGTCAAGAGCATGTGGACAGACATGACCTTAGCCCCATCGCACTACATGACACACAACCTTATATCGAGTATAGAAGACAGCAGCTCTACTACATGATCATTGAGCCATTAGTTTTGGGCTGCTGGAGCAGAAAAAGACACGATGATTTGCTTTAATTGCACGTGAAAACACAAAGTGAGTCAGTGGTAATATAAAGCTATAACATGGTTATTAAGGTAGTTAGGGATGACGACATATTAAAACTCCTGTTGCTTAGTTACAAACTGCTAAAGTAAGAAGCTAGCTAGCATTAGCATTCCCCCCCACTATGAGTTGCTGGTGTGTGTTACATTATGGTCACGTGTGTTTTACAAAGTGTGAGGTGAGTTTATTAAAAACCGTGTTCGGGTACAGAGACTCACCAGCCGTCACACCACAGCCGCACGACCCGCTTCCTTTTCTCCGGGCTGCACACTGAACTCCTGCTCTCACTGCCACCGGCTTCATCCCGCGGGCTGTCGGTGGAGCAGTGGCCGTTTTTGATCATATCGAAACACCTCCCAGATAAAAACACAAGTTAAAAAAAAGACGTTCACTAAAAGACTATTTATAAAGGACGTATTCTCGTCCGTCTCAGGTTCGGACAGGAACAGAGAGTGACACCCACCGGCCAACGCCTCCGAGCTCATGCCCTACGTCACACCCTACGTCACATCGAACGAATCCTCTCACGCTGACGTCACTGTCACGTGATCAGATCCTTCAAAGACTGTTTTTGAGTTTTACATTTTGAGTACACTTAAAAGGGAAGTGTTTCTTTAACTCATCATGATTAATTAGACAACCTTTGACTTTTAGTTACTTTACAGATTAAGATTTTACAAAGCTGGCATAAAACACATTTTATGTTGTTGAATATTAGGTTCAGATTGTAACACAACCTGGAGATTGTCAGTTTAAACTGCATGACTACTTTAGATTATTTGGATAAAATACTTTTTAATTAAAAAATAATCTCGGCAAATGTTTCACTACATGATTTCTGTTCTGTTTAAAGGTAAAGATAAACTTTATTGATCCCCAGGGGGAAATGTTTGTTTACAGCAGCTCAAGAAAACAGGAAACAGGAATATAATTATTACTAATAAAAATAAAAATAGAAGTTAAAAATCAAACATATTTACATCAGTTAAATAAAAAAATACAACAATAGGATATTACACGGTATCTACACTTCCACTTATGGAAAGAGTTATTGTTATTAAAAACACACATTAAACACACATTAATCATAAAGATCATAAAGCCCCTGTGAGAAGTTTTAACTGATTATAAAACAGATTGAAATTAATAGTGACACTTCATAATGACCTTTAAAAGCAAACAAGACCATCTGTGACAAGCTAGACTATTTTTTAATAACCTTAATGCCTGTAACTGTCAACACAGGGTATTTGTCGGACGAGATGATTCCCAGCACACTGAAGAAACAGCCTTTTTAACAGCAAATATTCGTGATTAACAATGCAGTCGATTGTTACAGAGAGTAGAAAGATGTATGTGGTGTGAAAACCTTATCTGTTCAGGTACTCAGGACAAGATCAGTGAAGAGATAAGACCTATCGGTTTGTCCAGGGGGATTGCTTAAATCGACACAGATAACCACAGAAGGTAAGGTGTCTTTTATCAAAGGATTTTTATATTTATTTAACCCATAATACAGCAGGAAAGTTAAATATTTGTCAGTTTCACATTTTGTGCCTTGAATTGTGTTATAGTTAACTCATATAAGAGTTTACTTCTCAGAGTACAGTCACAGTTTGGAAGTGAACTGTGTGCTGTGCTTTTAAACACCAGATAACACTTGACAGATGTCAATTCATAGTCACATGGTTTAGATTGCAAATTGGGTTCTATTTGTAATAAGCCAAACAAGCACAATTACCTCTGTAAAACTAAAAAGTATTACAGTGCTGTAAGAGGTTACACAAGAGTAATTTGAAGTCTATAAATAAAGTGTACAATATAAAAATACTTACATTTAAAACAACTGACCAGAACAAAAAAATTGATACACACATATTAGAATCAGAAACTTTATTGCCTCACAAATATAACATTTATTTGTGTGTGAAATACAATGAAACAAAGGTGTCTCCACATCCAGTTTGACCTCTGGTTTGGATATTAGGAATACTGAACACTGGTGCCTATTCTGACTCTGGAAGATGATGAGGTTTTTATTCACACTGGATCTCCCTGAGCTATATCAAGAGAGACACATTTTGCAATCACTTAAGTAAACAGTAACTTTAATGAGAAACAGAGGACTGTTCAAAAATCATTCTTTCTTACACTGTTGTGGATAAAAAAAAGTTGACAACAGCAGAGTCTCTGCATTAAGATTAAATGTAAACATAGGAGAAATCAACAACTGCAGTAAACAAAGCTACAGTACTCGCTGTACTTTAGAGCCTGAAAACCTGAGGAGAGGTGACAGCCGATGGAAGGAGACTGTTGTTCAAAATATATATAACTTAAGTCAACAAATTCATTCAAAACATATATCAATGTAAATAAACTACATTCAACAACATTTTCTGAAGAAAAAAAATTACTACAAAAACATGTAGAAACTGTTAAAACAGTCAAATCCTCTTAAATCTCTCATCAGTTAGAGCTGTGAAGTTCAGAAAACAGAAATTTGGCCATTAGTATCGCGCTGATCTTCTCATGTTTTCTAGTCATAATCAAACCCGATGCCACCTTGAATGAGCTTATATACAGTATCCTTAGACATCAGTAATTCAAACACCTACATAATGTTAAATCCAGCAGCACGTTGCACATCTAATAAGTTATTGTAATGCACCATGTCACAACTTGTGATAACACTCGTCTTGTGTTTTTGCTCTGAGCACCACTTTTCAAATGTAGAAGTCAGGACTGTGAACAAACACTGTCGTTGTTGTTTTTATCAAACACTCAAGAGTGAACAGCCAGCAGACTGTCAGGAGGTATTTGTTGACTTTGACAAGAAAAAAAAAATTGTAATCACACAACCCACCTTCAAAACATCCAGCTATGTTTCCTTTAAGGTGTTAAAACTAAAGCCACTTTCAGACCTTGCTAATACTTCAATCTGCAGGTTGTATACGATGTTGATGTTGCAAAATGACATTTGCAAATTACAAATACTCAAAGTTATTTCCTTTGCTCTCTCTCTCACACACACACACACACAAACACCCGTAAAAACTCAAACACACACACACATTGCATTTGGCTAAATGAACCAGAGGCATATCAGCACCCTGGAGTCAAATTCATCCTCATTATAGGACTGAAATAGTAATCCTCTGTTGGGATTGATCTCTTTGCATACGTCATCCAATGTGTCTTTAAGACTATGAAGCTTTTTTCTTCTTCCTTCCTTTGCGATAGCCTCGTCCAAACCAGCCGCCCTGTACAGCTGTGGCCTCCTCTGCCTGCTTCCTGCAGTCAGGTAAGCTCTCCTCCTGCCCATTAGGGGGCGCTATGACCTCACGAGTGCAGCTGTCATCCTCTTCTGGCAGCAAAGGAGTGGCTAGACTGAAGATTGGGTCCTCCAGCCTGATAGGACAGAAAAAGGTAACTTAGAGTCAAAAAAAAAACTGGATTTACTTTCCTATTTTCTGTGCGCGGGAGAGAGAATCTTTGGGGATACTTATAAATACAAGTCTTGACCAAACTTGAATAATGCATGTGCAATCAGTGTGAGTCACTTAATAATTTTCACTTCTATCACTTAAATGCAAAACCTTAGCTCTGACAAAAGTCAATAGAAAAGATTATTTTACAGAAATACAGTTCTCATAGAGAATTGGATGTAATTACATCCTGTGGTCCTTACCGGTCATACACAGGAATCTGAATGCTCAGCTCCTCCATTAGCAGCCTCATGACATCATCGCATTTGCCATTTATTTTCAGTACAGCCAGATCATCTTTTGGAGTCCACTATGGGAAAAAAGCAGAGTCATATAACTTGCTTTGATTTACCACTGCTGAACTAACCTCTTTCAGGAAGAATTCCACTTAAATGTACCTGGAGGTTGACAATGTAGAGTTTTGGCCTTCTGTTTGCTGGTCTGTTCATGCTCCACAGACAGGCATATTTCTTCAGCACCTAGAATTTAAAAAAAAATCATCAGCATACTACCTTGTTTGTTTACATGATATGCACTGACTACTGCAACTCCCTACTGGAGGGACTTCCTGCATGCACTATCAAACCCCTGCAGGTGATCCAAAATGCAGAAGCGTTCAACCTACCCTACGCTAACTTGACTGATTTTCAAACTACCAAAAAAAGCACCCAGTTACTGCTAGCATCACATTTAAAACCCTGTTGCTCGCTTACAGAACAGCAACAGAAACGCTCCTCCTTACCTAAACTCTATAATCCAGGTCTAAACTCCCTCTGCCAATGAAAGGCGTCTGATCCAACCTTCACAACAGGACCCAAAGTCTCTAACTAGACTTCTTATCTGTCGCTCCATGGTGATGAACGAACTACCAAACTCCATTCAATATGCAGAATCCCTTTACACCTTTATGAAAAAGCTAGACCCAGCTGAGTCCTCCAGAGTCTGTGATTAGAGCCGCTTCCCTAGCAACCACCTGCCCTTCATAGTAACAGTTTCTTCTCCTTTCTAACGGCGTGCTTTCAAGGGACGGAAGACCTTTGCTATGCGCAATTGGCCAATCACACTCCAGTATATAACACAGCTGTGTAATAATATCAATCACTTTGATTATGCTGCAGATCTGTGTTAAGTTAAATGCACTTGGTTGTAAAATGGATGTTTAAGAGATGCACAGCCAATTTTGTTGTACATTTGTCATGACAACAGAGCCACGGTCTTTTTTCAAACATCATGTGTGACTTAAGATCTCATAGCAGTACACGTAAAGAGCTTTGTTAAAAAATACTTGTATTTAAAAAGAGGTTAATAATGTAATTTCAAGATTAATGAACGTTATAATCTATGATGTCTAATTTTAATAAACTGCATTATATTTACAAGCACAGGTGGATATAAACTCTACCTTTAGACTGGAGCCTAAGCAGAGAATAACGTCGGCCATGTTGGCAGCCTCTGCAGCTCCCTTCCAGTTGAGCGGTTGCTCCAGTGTCCCACGTTCTCCAAAGTGCACTATGGTGTCCCTGAGTTCGCTTCCACAGTGGCTGCACCTGCGACCTGTACCGTGTCTGTGCAGCGATGTCCGCTCTGTCACGTCGAATAAACGCACATACTCTCTGACTGGAGAACAGGATGTACACACCTGAGGAGAAGATAAACAAACACATTCTCTGGGTAACTTTATTAATCTGTCAATTTCTGATCAAAAATATTTTTGAAAGAAATGTGCAGAATCTCTAGAGTCAGGAGGTTCAATGGAAAACAGACTTGAGCTTGTATAGTGCGTTTCTATTCTTCTGACTACTCAAAGAGCTTTAACACACTGATGTCAGAGGCGGCTATGTTAGGTGTCTTTTAGTAGTAATTAATCTCATTCATACACATTCAACCACCAACAAGCAGCTGGAGCAACTTGTGGTTAAGTGACTTGGCAAAGGACACATAGGACATGTGTTGGAACTTAACCCCTAACCTTCTGGTTGAAAGATAACCGACTCAACCACTGAGCCACAGCTGCCTGCTGGGTTGTAATTCGTTGTAATGCTGGGTTGTTTGAGAGTGACTGGAGGAGAGAAGCTGAGGACAGTGTGTGCATGTGAGCGAGAAGCTGAGAGCTGAAAGACTGGAGCTGTGTGTTTCTCACCTCGATAAACATGTTTCCATGAAGCTCAGACAGAACTTGTCTGGACAATCCGCTACGCAAGTGGAGTCCATCGCAGTTCTGAGAAACAACATGCTTCACCTTAAAAGGACAAACACACAGAGACACTCTATGAAAATACAATGAAAGGCACAATAAGAACAATGAACAATTAATAATCTAGGTCTGAGATACCAGTGTTTCCTTATGAAGCATCTTTATGCACATGTGTGTGACGGTCGGCTCAGCTTTACTCAGGTCAGACGAGCTGTTTAGAAAGTGAAACAAGACGATAAGTTCCCTAGTAAATACCCTTCAAAAGATTAGTGTGATTATTAGAGATGAAAGACGTCATATCACACCTGACTGTCCGGCCCTTCTGTAGCTGTGTCCACACCCCGTTAGGACCCCTGTAGTCTGGGATGGAAGCTGCCTGAAAGGAAATACAGCATCAGTCCTGTTTAAGGAAGTTTGAAGAGAAAGGGGAGCTAAAGATGCAGCAGAGTTTGGCGTACCGTACTGATACCGGCTCCAGTGTAAACCACCAGGTGTTTAGCATGTTTGACTGCATCAGCGAGCTGTCTGACTTTACTTCTCAGCTGATCGGCATCATCAAACACCTGCGGATAGGTCACGGGGGGGGGGGGGGAATCACACATTTGTTTTGTATTAAGCAACAGCCACAGCAGATTTATGTCATTGCTGCTCAAAGTCAATATACACAATAACAGAGACAAACAAAGCCTGATTCTCATTTTCAGATCCAAGTAGCACCTCTTTTAAACTGATGGTCGCGACAGAGCAAGAACATTCAAACAGCAGGATTCCTTCTCTGGAGACTATGAACACATGCCTTTAGTCTTTAAAACATGTCATATCCACAGAAAGAAACAATGCTATTTTTGTAAGGGAATTTCTGAAAATTAAAAAAAAAAAGTTTGCTGAGCTGACATGAGGGATTATCCTTTCGTTACGGCAAAAGTCCCTTGTGTTTATTTCAAATACACACTATTATTTTCAGACTTAAATCTCTAGTGCCTTTTCTTTGTGAGGTTTGTTTCATCCACAGCCTATGACTGGCACACCTGTAGTCAGAAACCATTGAAGCAACCTTCTTGATTCTTCACCAGGTGATCATAGACCCCCATTCAGTGAGTTATGTTGATAGCAAACACTCCCTGGACCTCACCTCCTCCTGCTTCCTCTTGAGCACAGTGCTGCGGACTTGTCTCCTGCAGAGCTCCTCCACAGTCTCTCTGTGCAGCAGTAACACAGCGGCCTCCTCCTCAGACCGCTCAGCCTCCGGTTTCTTCAGGACCCGTCCGACCTTCAGTTCACAGGAGAACAGAGAAACCGGGTCACACTCACCGGATAATAAACCCAAGACACAATTAACACCCTCTACTAGCCGGCTATCTTGAATTATCTAGCTAGCGGCTGTAAATGTGCTGCTGGCTCGTCTTACCAGTCTGAAAGTTCTCCTCTCGCTCTCTCGTTGGAGTATTTTGGCTTTTTCCAAAGCTTTTCTTTCCGTCCGTACAGATACACCGGTGTCTGCCTCCTCTGCCATGCTGCTTGAAATCAGCTGAGAAGCAGCTCTCTATTCAAAACACTGCGTAAAGCCCAGTGATCAGAAACACCCGGATGTTTACCGAGTAAAGTTGAGTTTAAACCGCGTACAGCGCCCCCTGCAGCTGGGAGTCTTAAAGTGTTTTAGTCTCCACTGTCACAAACCAAACTTGAGAGCAACTTTGTTTTTTAAAAACCTTTATTAGAAACCACATACAAATAAATAAAATGTAAAAAAAAAAAAAAGAAAAGAAAGAAAGGTCCAAAGTCATTAAGAATACAAAATTGTAAAGCTCTACATGTGTTTTGACTGACATGTGATTTAAATGCTCTAAACAATAACTTGGGAGTAACACACTCAAGTAACAACAACACCGGCATCTGGATATTAACATTTCTGCTATTCTTCAAAAATATTTCTAACTTATCTGATTATTTCAGAGTGGACATTTTGGTATATTAAAGCAGCAGTAGTGGTATGATCTTCAGGTCAAACCATGGCTGCACTTAACCTTTAAGTTTCCTGGTATTGTACATGGGGCTCATTGCATGTAACTACACGTTGCAACCTGTAAACATGTATAACAAAGCAATGTCTATTCATGTATCATAGTCACATGCTGCATGTCAGAGCCCTTGAGTTATCTCGTTCTACATATTGATTGTTTTGAGTTGTTTTTAGAGAAAGGAGGTAAAAGTGTGTTCTGTATAAACTTTAAATAATTGTGCTTCTTTACTGTGATTCATCTTGTTGGATAAATCGTCGGACCCCTGGGTTGTCTCCCACTGACCAGATCAAACTGAAATAAAGCCCTTATTAGTGTTATTCTTCATAACTGTGCCTTCCTGCTGTGAAATCTCAAAATGTAGTTTGTGAGTCATACAACATCTTTTAGGCACATCACAGAGCTTTGATTTGATGCCAAACTCAACATTTTCTCCTCTTACATCTGCAGCATTACTACACAGAAGATGGTGAAGCAGACCTAGTAAGTATTTTGTGTTAACAGTGGCTGTGGTGGGTTTTTTTTGTTATCCCTGCTTTAAGCATCCTCTCTTTGTGAAACTTCTTTGTAATGTCTGAAAAAGAGGCTCCACTGAAACTGTATTATATTCTGGTTGTAGAGTGCTAAAAAAGATCCCAGCTCACCAGCAACAGGCCTCTCTTGGAGTCAAATTTGGATTTGGTAACTCTCAAATGACTAGTAATACAATATTCATGTAATCGCAGGAGGCCTTATTAAAGGTGCTCACTGGGGCCAATTAGGGGAGTGTCATCGGGGTCTGGAGGAGTAAGTGCTCTTGGGGACCCTCTGAGGATTTGCTTTGAATTGTCCTCGCTTTTTTTCCAGCGGCTGCTTGGCAGAGGATTCTGCGGTGTGTCCAGTCCTCGTCCTGTTCTTTGCTGCTGCCTTTTTTTGCATCCTGGAGGTAGAAATTAGGAGCTTTATTTAAACACAGACAAAAATGTTGCTTTTAAAAATATTACCTCAGCCTACAAAGCAAGATTTAGAAGTCATTAAAAAAACCTTCACATTTGTTGTTTGTCTGAAAGTGTGCAATCGTGTATTTGACTTCATATTGGGCTGACTTTTGGGGTGGGCAGTAGCTCAGTCTGTAGGGACTTGGGTTGGGAACCGGAGGGTTGCCAGTTCAAGTCCCGGTGCGGACCAAATATGGAAGTTGGTCTGGTAGCACTGTCAAGGTGCCCTTGAGCAAGGCACCAAACCCCCTACCCACCACCAGCTCTGCTCTGGCACTCTGACATCTCTCCATTAGTGCATGTGTGTATATTTCAGCCTATGTGTGTGTTGCATGAGTGTAAAAACAGAATTTCCCCTTGCGGGATCAATAAAAGTAAATCTGGATTCATGCTCTTTAGTGAGTTTGGGATCTGGAGCATATGATTCTGATAAAACATAAAAAAAATGTGCAGACATGGAGGCTGTGGCATGTCAACCGTTTCTCAACCAGAAGCTTGGGGGTAAGATTCCCAGCTCCTGCAGTCACATGTTGATGTGCCCTAGGGAATGACACTTAAACCCCAACCAATTGCTCCCGCTGCTGCATCAGCGGTGTGTGAATGTGTATTAAGGGATTAGTCAATGCTGATGGTCACCTCACATAGCAGCCTCTGCCATCAGTGTGTGAATGTGTAGGTGTGACATGTGGTGTAAAAAGCACTTTGAGTAGTTGGAAGACTAGAAAAGCGCTATACAAGCTCAAGTCTATTTAGCATTTTAAAAGAGCATATTTTCATCAGAGTTGAGGCACCATTTTAAACTTCAGGTCGAACAATGTGTAGAGTTCCTTCATCCTTTTATATTACTGTATTTGTACTTTGTGTATCCAGTGAATAAACTCACATCATCTCTTTTTTCCTCTCCAGCGATTTTTGTGTCGCCGCTGACAGTGAACTCTTTCCTCTGGGATGGCCCGTGTTCCCGCTCTAAATAATCATAAACAAACAAAAGCAAAAACTCAACTGAAGAGATTCACTCCCCACAAGGTGAAGCACTGTGGAAATCAGGTTCCCATAGAAAGGAACTTTAGAGTTAAACAATAAAGAATCACATTTTCAGTCATTAAAGCAACAATATGTAGGAATTTGGTTTGGTTTGGCGCCCAATGAAGGTCTCTGAGTGCAACGTAAGTCATAAGACACACATATTGCTGTTACGACTAACTGTTTCCATGACTACAGTGGCCAAATGGCTGCATTGGAGAGGGTATTTTATTACATGCTAGTTTAGGTGGGATTGTAAAAGTGCTAAATTTACAAATCTAACTTGAAGGTTGACGAGGAAAAAAACATATTTTTTGTGTAAGATGGATTTATTTATTTATCTGTATGCAAACCTGAGACAGAACTTGGGTTAGAGGACTTTCTGCAAGCTGCTGAACATGAGACAATGATGACACATTACTATACAGCTAAATGTTACGTCGCAATCTGTTATGAATAATAATATCTGCAGGGATGTACACTCTGCTTCATCCGTCTCCATCCTCTTTTTCTTAGCCTCAGCAAATGAATCAGAGACAGAGACGAGCTAACTGGCTTCTTTTTACAACTGAAGGCTTGTGTTTGAACTAGTACCATGAAGCCATATGCACTTCTGCGAGACGGCCGCGGCCCGCTTTCAAAGTTACATAGTACAATAAGCAGGAGATCGGGCCGTGCTGTGGACTTTGGAGAGACGCCGTTCTCCCTGTTGAAAGTTATATTCAATGAAATTGATGTTTGAAACGACTTTTTAAAGGTAGAAAAAGTACATATTGTTGCTTTAATGTCTTTAAAAGACAGCGATTGACTAGAGTACAGGCAACAATCTCATCATCCACCAGACTCATCATGAAGTACTTTAAAATGTTCCCAGTACTGAATGCAAAACGGTATTTTGAATTTCTATATTTAGAGCTGGATCACACATCTGCTATAATTTAAAAAACGAATCATCCACAGCCAAACTATTTGCAAACAGCTAAGACTCAGTAATTGTTAAATGTACCTCTAAGGAACTTTCCACACATAGTTCTGTATGTTTATAACAGTGTCAGTGTTTTCAATAAGCAACCAACGCTCCTCCAGCTCGCACTGAGCTGCTGAAAAGGTTACCTGTCGTCTGTGCTCTCTCTCCATGGCCAGCTCTCGGTCCCAGCTGATCAGCTGCATCCTTTCTCCGGTTGACAGGCTGAAGAATATGTCGTTGACCTCGTAACGTGCCGCGCGCAGCTGGAGCAGGAAACAATCACAAAGCAGACGACGGCATGAATGAATGCGTGTAATCGCAGGTATTTGTTGTGGTAACTGGTAATGGGAGGAATAATTGCTGCGTGTGCAGTGAAGAGGAAGAGAGAAGAGAGGCTAACAGATGTTCACAACACGTGTTTGCTTAAATACCTGCAGAGCGGCTCTCTCCTGCAACAAAAGGTCCTGTCTGCTACTGAACTCTCCTCTGCCGGGGCTTTGCTGCTGCTGGAGGGCCTGCAGTAGCTGCTGTGTGTCCTGAAGGTCCAAATTACACAACAAGACTTTTTAATATCAAGTATTTTAAAACGATACAATCCCCGTTATATTAATGATCGATGGTATTGAAAAGAACTGAAGCTTTAAAATGAACACATCAGATATGGTCATGTTTATTAACCACAAGCATAAAATACCTTGGCAACATATTGTTAGATAGATAGAGCTTTTTTTTCATACTGTATGCCAGGGATTTGTATTTTAGTTTCATTGGTATTGAAACAGGTATTGATATTGTTTGATTTTGACTAGAATTATTTTGAAGATTAAAATTCTGGTCACATACAACCCTCAAATTACAAAGATAAAATAAAGTGCTGCCAGAGACAGACGTGACACTGCTGTCACTACTCACCCTGACGGTTCGCACCAGCTGCGCCACTTTCTCCGTCCTGAGAAGCCTGCGAGTCAGGAAACCTTTCACAGCCGATAACAGTAGGGGGCGGCAGCGCTCTGAGAGTGTGCTGGAGGGCTGAGGAAGAGGAGAGAAGGAGTGATGAGAGGGGTGAGTAATGAGGACCAGAGGGGAAGAGAGAGGAGAATGCTAATTTCATCAATGACAACCAATTAATTTCCCACACAGATTCTCAAGGTCTTTTGGTTGGCATCTGTTTAGCGAATCAACACAAGTGGACTCGCAGCTCATCATTATAAGAGAGAATAATAAGCAGAATAATAAGCAGCTGATCTGCCGTCAGTCACTTGTTGATTCTGAAACTGTTGCATTGAAGGGAAACGTTGTTGAACAAGTCTAGTGTAACTGAAGCCGAGCTGCTGGATTGAATACCGATTCGAGGGAAATAACAGATGATAGAGGTTTAAGATGAGGATTAAGACATCGAGGCGGGAGAATCTGTTTCACTTGAGTGTGTCAGCAAACTAATGATGAATTAAAATATTTGGCCACAAGGATAAGCAGGGCAAGCTTTTTGCGTCCCTGACATTAGTGAAAAATGTGCTCATGATACCTGAGAGATGCTGGTAAAGGTCAGCGTGTCCCCAAGACGTGAGCTGGACATGGAGCAGGGGAAGGACACACTCTGGAGGAGGCGGAAACGCTCGGCCAACGCCTGAGAGAGGGACAGACAGGAGAGGAGAGAGAGAAGAAGTGCATGTGTGTGTGTGTGTGTGTGTGTGTGTGTGTGTGTGTGTGTGTGTGTGTGTGTGTGTGTGTGTGTGCACGGCCGGCACATTGGGAGCAGGCAAGGTTGGAAAATATTGAATTGGAAAGGACAGCAAATGAGGCAGGAGGAAGAAATTAATTGAGGGTAGAGAGGAAGAGACAGAAGGGGAGAGATGGGGCACAGAGGCAAGAGGGATGAGATGAGATGAGAGAGGGAGGAGGAGGAGGAGGAGGAGGAGGAGAGGGAGCAGAGGAGGAGGAGGAGGAGGAGGAGGAGAGGGAGGAGGAGAGGGATGACAGGGGTGATGCGAAAGGAGAGATGGAGGAAATTAATACGGCCAAAGAGTAAAAACGATGTCGGAGGAGGAAGGAGTGAAAACAAAGAAAAGTATGTGAGTAGAGGGAGAAAAAAAAAGGGGAGATGGAGAAGGGACCATTAGCGGTGGCACTCGGCGGGACGATCTGGCACTTAACCACAGACGCTCATGAATTAAACAAATTATCCTTTCCTTTTCTGTGTCAATTCCCTCAATCCCCCTCCTCCCCCTCCACCAGAGAGTCCAGCCAGCTCGCTCACTCACAACATCACAAGTGCTGGAAGGACAGAGGGGAGGCAGAGGGAAGTCTTTCTTATTAAACAGCTTATGTTAATTATATTGTTGTTAAGGATACATAAATTAAACTGAGACTGTGATTAATAGGGCAAGGACACCGGCCAAGAACAAATACAGAGACAAGCTGAGGAACGGGAACTGGTTGCCAGAGAGCAGCAGGCGTCCTTGAAGTCTTGCATGTGCCCGCGCACACACATACACACACTCACAAAAAGAGGCGACCATGCCAGCTCGCCTCTTAGGGACGTAATGAAACATTTATGGTAGAATCCCTGTGTGTTTTTTTTTTTACTGGGGAGAGTCTGAAGGTCTCTTGTAATGAGCAGATGTCTGTAGTCTGCCCACGACCCAGGTCTCCACAAGCACGCTCTAACAGGTAGGGGGAAAACCTGTGTGTGTGTGTGTGTGTTGGCACATATGGACCAGTGCCAGCGACATTCAAAGAATTCCTTCTGATTTCAAAAGAACATATAGGGTCAATGTTCTATCACATCTTAGTGAAATTGTATTTCTCCTTTTAAGTAGACTGAAAAACACAGGGACTGAACATTAAATTCTTCCCTTCTCAAAGGTGACTTTGGGTGGAGTCAAATGTTTGGAGAGTGAATTATGGTTGTTGTACAGGAGTTACGTAGTGCTTGATCTGTACAGCAATATGTGATGCAATCTAGTGCAAGCAGCGGGCCAATGGGATGGAGGAAATATCAGTACGACTGCGTCTGAAGCGTGTTTACAAAGAATAAATGTCTGGTAGTTTTAGAGACGTGTTATTTCAGGGTCTTTTATATTGCTGTTTCTCTTTCTTAAAGAAAAAGACACATCTGCCTGAAAAGTCGATAGTAAACCGTAAGTGTATTTTAAATATTCTATATTTTTCTTCCTGGCAATAAATCCTGTTGGGCTCTCTGGTAGTTAAGACGCCAACCATGACCATGAACAACTTTCACTGTTTAATACAGCGGTGGACTGTATTACAACTCTCAATCACTCATTCTTGTCATTTCTCACCATGCAGCTTCCACATTTGAACTCTACTAAATACATTTCAGAAAAAGTTAAGCATGTTCATTTTGGCAAATGTAACTCAAAAAGGAGTACAAGGTAAGTTGTGTAATGATGGGGATTATTTCCAGGTGTTTGGCAGTGTTACATTTATTTTAAATGTCTTACTGAGTACATGAAGTTCTTGAAATATATATCTCTTCTACGTGTCGAATAACCAGACTTTCTAGTATAATTAATCGGGTAAAGTGACCTAGAGCAAATACAGTGGTGAAAAATGATGGGCACACTGATCAGGGATGTAACAATACCTCCAATACAACACAATTGAAAATCAATCAAATTAAGGGACAAAAATAAATGGGGAGGGGGGGGGGGCATTAAAAGCTCCATATTAAGAATTAAGAAGACTTTTCTTGTATTATCACATTAACCTTCATGAATATAACATTAGCCACCTGACACCTACTGTTTGGCACCACAAATCTTATCAATATTGAACTTTTTTTTGTTGGTTTCGGATGTGTTTTCTTATCACAGCTAATCATTCACCCATTAATCCTCCCCACTGTCTCACCTGCAGTAGTTCTTCCTGCTGCCTCCTGTGCTGGTCTTGCAGAGCTCTGACCTGAGCGGCGTGGGCCTGTTTCAGTTGTTCCTGCCTGTCGTTGACACTCTTATGGTCTGCGCTCCAACCCATTGCAGCTATAGGCCAGAAACAGGACAATACCCGGTCACATAATGTCTAAGAATAAACTTTTGGGAAGACTAAATCTGTTACTTAAGGTCCCACCACTAAATGTATTAACACATGTCTAATGTCATGGAGCAAAAGGAGAGTGCTGGGCTCTGTAGCTGTAATAATCAGGTTGTGGCTGCTTATCCAATTCCAAACTTAACTTTTTTTTATTTTCCCTGGAGTCCAAACTCAATAGCAATATTTTTGAATATTCTTTGCATGTTTTGGCTCATATTTGATATCTCTGTTCTAGTATCATGCTGGTCTTACCTCTAGGCGTGCTGGAGTTTGGTCTGACCACTGAGTCTGCTCCTCTGAAGACGTCTGCGCTCCTGTCCTGCTTGTCCTCGGTCATATGCATGAGCAGCCTGCGTTTGACCTTGGATATCCCACTCTGACCTTCACTCTCGCTCTCAGGGGTCAGGTGTTTCTCCTCAAAAAGATGGCCTATTGTGCCAAAGTCAGATCCTGACCCTTCTAGGAGCCACAGGCCGGACGGAGCGTCCACATCGTACGACTGGTTGAGAGATGGTGAGCAGGTTGAGTTGTGACTCCCTTCAGCTGCCTCGTTCCTCCTGTCCACAGGATGGTTACTGGTGTCTGACAGCACTGAGACATTACTTGGAGCAGCGGCTTCAGAGGCAACATTTCTGAATATGTCAGGAATCCTAAGGCGCTGAGCTGCAGAGAGGAGGCATTTAGCTGTGGGCTGCTGCTTAATAGATCCACCATGATGTCGATAACTCTTTGTGAGTCTGTCATTAGTTGAACATTTTTCCTTTCCTCGCTCTGTAACTAAAGTTTTGACTAGCCTGAGCTCACTTAAGTTAACTTCTTCAGTTCCTTTTCTCTGCTTTATGACGGGACCATCATCCATGTAATTGATGCTGGGATCAGATCCTGAATCTTCATGCGAGTTCTTGGAATTGTTTAATGATTGTCTTCTCAGCAGCTCGTTTTGGTTTTGCTCTGCATCATTGCTGTCTTCATCGTTACTCTGCGTCTGTTTGCTCCCATTAAGGCCCTGATTCCTGAAGTTTTCTGTAAGTGTGGACTCCAGATCTGAGATCAACACTTTAAGACCGGACAGGTTGGACTCCAGCTGATCTATGTGCTGTGAACTCATGGTGGAAACACCTGCTAAATCACCTTCGTTCATGACATTCACTTTGGAAGAGACTGTGGTGTGAATATTTTGAGGTCCAAAGTTAAACCCTTCAACACTGAGATTTTTATTCAAACCAGTATTGAGTAAACCTGTCTCATCTACAGCTATTTTATCTTGGACACTGCTTTTGCAGCGAACAGGACTCCTGCAGAAATGTGGGGCTGGAATAGTTTTATATTTGCCTCCTCCTCTATGAAAATCTGAAGGGCTTGTAGTCAAACTGAATGCTTCCTGAACTGGGGAGGTTTCTGTGGACATGGGCTGTTGCCGGGCGAAGGCACTGATTTCTTTAAACTCTGTCATGAGTTCTGGTGAAATGTTTAGCTTATTATTTCTTAAAGTTGTTTCTTCCTCAACACCAGTCATTTCCTTGATGTTCTCATCTCCTGTAGATGTTGTGCTTACAGTCTTTTCCTCACTCTCAATCCTCCCGTCATTGTCCCAGGATTTCTTTGGTGACATTTCCACTGACTGAATAATATTGCCTCTGCTCTCTTGAGTTTTCTTCCCCTCTGCAGTTACACTGCCCTTAAGAGGGAACTCGTCGTTTCCTTATCAGAGAGGCTCGGCTCCTCTGTCCTTGCTTTTGGCTGTTCTTGGGTCCTCTCCTTGATTTTACTGTTTTTGGCTTGGTTCCTAAGCATCCGCTGGCGCCGCCGATACTCTTGAGATTTCTTCAATAGAGCCTGGAGGCTCAGGCGATAGGGCTCCTCTGATGACTCTTCTTCATCTCCGTGGATGTCGGCTTGTTCTGTGTCTGTGCGGTCGTCCTTAAGATGTTCTTCTTTTGCAGGACAGAGATGAGGGCAAGAAGTCTGAGATGACTCTGGATTGTCTGAAAAGCCACTGTGGCCCTCCACTCTGTCCAAAGTTTGATCTTTGTCAAGATCAAGTATGGTACTAACAGAAACATTTGCTTCATCCTCTGTGCTGTTTTCAAGCCAGCTTTCAGATTTCTCTCCTTCTGAACTCTCACATATGACTGAGTCCTCCTGGAGTGTGGTGCCACAAATGTCTTCTACGTCTTCAAAGTCTTTACAAAACGATGATTCTAGTCCACTCCTCTCAAGTTCCTCTCCATCTATGGGAGGGTAGCTAATGATATCTGGCATCTTGGCGATTGTGTTTGAGGTGTTGTGGAGGAAATAGCCATTCATGCTATCAGCTCCCTTCGAGGTTACAAAGCCATTGCTCTCTCTCCCTGAGTCAATCCCGACAGTGACACCAGTGGCATTTTCAACATTCTCGTAGGTCACGTAACCTAAGGACAGGTGGCTAACACCATTAAAGGAACTTGGCTGTGATCCGTTTTGGCTGTAACATGGATCCATATGGCATCCTTCCTGCCGAGGTGTCACACTCGTGGCAAGAAAGGCACTATAAGCTGTTGATGTAAACGGAGGGAGAGCAACATCATTGTTTTCTTTCCTGTTAGGCGGAGATGAGAGTGAAACATCATCCTTTGTGCCTTGGAAATGGCTGCTCGGGGAACCTGATCCATCGTTGATTTTATGTAAATATGAAGATGTTGTGTAAATCTCCGACTCTTGAAGCAACTCCTCCAATGTTGGCGTCGTCCTCAGCTACAATTCATATAATCAAACAGTAGTTCTTAGACATTGGAGAAAATATGTTTTCTCATCTGACCAAAGCCAGATCGGGCATGACAGAACATTTATTAGTATATTTGTTTATATGGCTCCCCATTGGCTTCAGCATAAGCTGGAAGTTATTCTTCCTTTGGTCTGCAGTTTACATTGTGACAATACAATTTACACGTTTTTAAATACAATACACTAACATTAAACGTCACACAACATTAAACAACACACATCCAATCTATAGTAAAATAACAAGTGTCACAAATTAACAAGAAAAACAGACAATACAAAGCCTCCAAGTGAATGTATAGTGTCTAAAAGTTAAATGATAGCATTAAAAGCCCATGTAACCATCACATCACATAGAGTTAATATTAACTACTGGAATTTCTTCATAGGTTATGTTCTTTAAGTGTAACTGTATTGATTGTTTTGTTTTTCTAATATCATTTGGGAGTGAGTTTCATTGAAGCCTTGCTCGATATGTTACTGCACTGGTTCACACCAAAGATCTCAGGGGTGGCGCGAGGCTAAGTCTGCTCTGGGGTAGTCCAAATTAAAATTGCACATACAGAGAGATACAATTGCAGCATTTTTCATTTACATATTTGTATGTAACTGATTATAATGCTGGACCAGACCACAGAGCAGTAATCCAGGTGAGGAAAAAACAAGGCCAGAATAACTTGTTTAATTTGTACTCGAAGGACATTCAAACCATACAACGACTATTTAATCAATACAATAAGAGTGTGTTTGTATAGGAGTGAGCCTTCTGAAGACTTAAATATGACTTAAGTCTAAATATTAAACATGTAGGTGTTCAGGTACAAGAACATATTAGGATGACTGAAATGTCAGGACTTACATGAACACTGTGGAGGATCGTCTGCACATGAGTCATCCTCGGATCATCCTTTACCTTCCTGTGGACGGCAGCTTTCTGCGCTGCTTCTCTGTGCCGCTGCATCTCCTCTCTCTGTTCCTCTGAGAGCTGTTAGCATCAGAAGGCAGACATGAGATGGTTATTAAACACATTAATAATAAGTATCTTCTTTGTATTAGCCACCTCTTTATATTTCTATAGATCAAGTACTTTCTTTAGTCATCACATTGAATCTAAGAGCTACAACTATTGATATCAGCCTCACATCTATTATCATTAATATAAACATTAAAGTGACTGCTCTTAACATACTTAGTTGTAACTGCTTACACTACACATACTACATTTCCATTATGACTGACATGTAGCTATAAATCTGTTAAAATCTGTTTGTCTTCATCCTTCTTTCCAAGCCCAACACAGTTTGTGGCTGTTCATCATGAGTCTGGTTCTGCTTGAGGTTTCTGCCTCTTTAACCCCTGAGGCCCCTTAATAAAAAAACGTACACTTTCGTCCTAAGACCGAAACGGGTCCCTCTCATAGTGTAATAAAAATCTTATATATTATTTTTTTTTTTACTTTCACCGCATCAAATCCTTTCAACTACTTCAGAGCTCACCATAGATGTAAAGTTTTTAAATATTGTTTTACATTTTTTATGTTTTTAAGCCCTTTTTGTCATAAGAATCCTGGACTTTTTCAATGGGAAAAACACAAAATGTGCAATTTTCCCCCCAAAAAAGTGCAAAGTGGAATATTTGAGAGAAAAGCATTATAATATGTCAGAATAACAGTGTATCAAAGATAATATGGTTATAATGGGAGCAGATGGGACCAACTTGGTCCCTAAGGGTTTGAGGATGAGTAAAATCCATATCTCCTATTCTATACAACTTGCAATAAAGGGGTCATGAAATTTTAAAATGTATAATAAAAAGTAACTTCCTGGCAAAGTTTCATACAATTAGCATTAAAACTGACTGATGTATTGAGAATCAAAAAGGGAAAATAAGCTAAATGTGCACGTTTGGGCACTAAGTGTCCTCGAGGGTTAAGGAAGGTTTAGTCTTGGCACTGAAACTTTGCTCCTGATGGATTCATGTTTCTTTGTAGTTGTGTTGTAGTACTTGACATCGGTCTCTTCTCAGAAACATAACACACTGCAGTCTTTGACAGAAAGTCAATAAAAGCTTTATAATAAAAGAGAACTCGTACCAGAGGAGGCAGAACAGGTTTTCCATAGAAGCGGATGAGAGAGGATGAAGGTAAAGGTTTCTCCTTTTCCTCCTCTCTTTTCCTCAGATGAGAGAGGCGAATCTGTACAAACGTGTCGTAGTCCTCCATCGAGTTGCATCAGGAGGCGTTTTGTATTGATTTCTGATACTTAAAAGGACGAAGTTGGAGTTATATGTTGACCTGTGAAAGTAGCTAGCTAGCAGGCTAACAGGTTAGCTCAGGTTGGTGTGATAAACGTTAGCGTTTATCCGTCGTTAAAGTAAACAGCTGTTATGGGAAGGCACTAAGAAAAAGACCAGCCCTGTAGTTTTAACTGTGATCAAAAGTAAAGGGTAACACGATAAAGTGTAACAGGTTTACTACACTAGAAGCCTCCATCAGGATGGTTCAGTGTTTACATGTTTACCCGCCTCTCCTCCCGGAGCGACACTCTGACAGTTTGAACTCCTGCGAAAACACGGAGCGGACTCAACACACCGACATGGATTTTACAAACTACACAGCATTTAAACAACTATAAAACTCATAATAAAAATAAAAAAGTCGTGTAAGATTAACTTGGCAATGAAACCGTACCCCCTTTGTCAAGAACATTACCACTAATCTTGTTTTAAGAACGATGAAATGTGTTGCGCTCCGTGTTTTGCGAGGATCCAGAAGAGTTTGAGACAGAGCTGCTCAAACGTGACAGCGCCCCCTACAGGCCCGCCCAGGTGAACAGAGTATGAACCATAGTGTAACCATATGAACATTGGCTTCCTCTACATACGTTTTTTTTAGTTTGCTCCAATGTTTGAAAGTCTGAAAGTTAATGAGTGCCATTCAGCGTATCCAAAAAGTGCTTTTATTCACGGAATAAACAGCACAGGTGAAAGTAATACAATGCAGCAATTACAGCTTCTTGTATGAGTTATTTGCTGGTTATAACACTGGCTGGATCTTAAAGCAGCTGGAGAATAAGGTCTATGAGCTACAAAAAGCAAACAAGACCACAATGTTTATTATTTCTATGTCATCTGTTGTAGCTGTGTTTCCCTGAGCTGTTTGTCTCGTGTCTCCTTCTGTTGTCTCCAGCTCTGCTCAGGTGAAGCTGCCTTGCCTTGTTTTTGACTTTGTTAAAGGTGCACTATGTCGTTTTGGTAGACAAGTGTGAAAGTTGTAGAAATGTACAGATTTGGTGGTTTTATGTTCATAAATTTAAACCTATGCTTTAAACACAAACTATCCTCAGAGGAAAATGTGGTCCCTGGAACAAAGTTTGAAGATAAAATGCTACTGGAGAAGTTATGGTGGAGGGAAAACCGTAACTCTCATGGTAGCTTTTTAGCTCCAAACAGTGTTCCATAGGACACATCATTTTCTTTGAATAAAGTTTGTGTATTTAGTTCAGAAAATGTAGCATAGAATTGTTTCACTTCTCCAACTTTCAAATTTCACTACAACATCTACATAGCGCACCTTTAAGGTGTTTTGTGTCCTTTATTGTGTCAGTTTGTGTTTGTTGTTAGACCCATGGGGCCACTTTAGGGTGGGGCGTAAAACATCATTTTAAATGTTGGTTAATGCTGCCGCTACAGGAGTCAGACGAGGCGATTTGCACTCCAAAAGCATGTGTTTACATTTTCTGAAGCAAAGATTCACAGTGAGTGAAACATTTGACTATAAGTTTTCATGTTTAGTGATAACCTTAAAGGTCACATTTTTACCTCTTCTCAACCACTTTAAATAAGTCCCAGAAGTCCCCAAAGACTCAGAACGCAAAACAAACCCTAGCTTTGGCAGTGTAGCCCACCTGGCGGACGGGTTACTGCCCTTTGTGATGTCATGAAGGGAAAATCTAAATAAAAAAAAAACAATTGAGCAAAACAATTCTGAAAAGTGGAGCAGGCGAAACACAGAACTTATACTTTTACATTATGGGGGGGGGGGGGGGCTGTAGACAGGCTAGGCATGTCAGTATTCATAAATGTGATAACAGAGGCACATTACATCAATTCATTTTGAAAAGGTTTTTATTGGTCATATACAAAATAAAGTAAGCTGTTTATCAACAAACATACAGTATATACATCAATAAATTAAGAGATGCATCAGACCGATGATGAAACAGTTAATTTCAAGATTACCAATACGTTGTCATCATCACTTAAATATCTACAAATTGCAACAAAAAAAAGGTACAATAATTTAGTTGAAGATAAATACAAAGACTGTCACAATTTAAGCATTTTCCCATAGAAAGTACTGTCATAGAATAATTGTTTACACCCCATACAGAAATATTACAAAACACTGATTTTTTTTTCTTATAAGGGCTTTTCACACAAACTCACTACTTTCCTATAGGTTTAAAAAATGACACTTTTTCACTTTTCACAACACAAATAGCCCAACTTAGCTTAACGCTCACGAGTGGACACCTGTGGTTTGGTGGGAACAAAATGTTCTAAATTAAAACAGGAGAAAAGTTACTGTGATGTAGAAGCTTAGAGGCTGTAGAGCTCATAAAACAGCAGAGAGAGGGTAAAGTGAAGGAGGAACAAAACAAACATCATTATTGATGAAATCGACAAACAAACGATCAAAGGAATCCTCGGTTCATTTACTCTCATCGATCTGTGTTTGAGGTGGGTGAAAGGGCTTTTAGAGTGCAGTGGCGTGATTCACTGTAAAGGGAAACAACTGAAGAACGTCACGCTGATTGGCCAAGCAGCAAGATAAGGGGTTAATGATTTGCATCTTCCAGAAGAATCGCATGTTTTAAAGAAGGGGCTCGGCTGCCTGCTGAGTTAACTCGTCGATACTTTGTAAAAAAAAAAAAAAAAGGGTTGGGAAGAAGTGGAGTGAGACGTGGTTTTATCGGATGGGTTTCCACCACTCCTCTCTGACTCTGTAAAATATTTATAGATGTGGTTTAGGAGCAGTTGCTTGGGTCTGTGATGAAAAGCCTTTTGATAAGGAGGGTATGACCCCTGTTAAAGAATAAGGTCGGCACGTCCCACAACCTCTTAAACTCTGTTATGAAAAGCCAGCCGACTTGTCTGATAATCAGTAGAGGTTTGCTTTTGTCAGCTGATCATATGTGCTGATTAACAATCAGAAAGAGACCTCTGTAATGTTTCATACTGGACCTATGAAGCCACAAGATACTGAAGTCTGGAAGACTTGAATGATATATTCTTAATGTCCTCTGAACCCTTTTTTTCATCGAGTCGCTTTCTCGACTTAAAACGCATTTTGTGTTTTCACAGTTATTTGTCAAGTGATGCTAAAAAAAGCAATGAAATCTACAACCCAAATTACAATCCGACGTACACACACTTTCAAACACTCAGCTCTTTACCCTCGTCAACTAACACGACCTGCATTATAAACAGCTTGACAAACAGGAGTTGTACAGGAGTACAACAGTATACAGAGATGGAAACATAATGTCTGACTGTGTTTTCACGTTCACAAGCACCATGAGGTTTCATATTTTCACTTTAACTAGACACAACCTGATCTTGGCAAAAGTGTCATCCTATTTGATACCACACACACACACACACACACAATGCAAAACTTTCCCAGGTGAAAACATCAGTCACAAAAAATAAAGGGACAGACAGAAGCAGTGGGAAAGCGGAAGAACAGGAAACAAACTCCAATAGAAAAGTAAATAATTAAAAACAGGGCACGTTTGAAAACATACATTTACTGGGTTTGATCACAAAATATCCTTTTTCACTTCTGTCAGACATTTTCATTTGACACTCGCTGCTCTCTGATTTCACAGTTGACTGAATATGTGAATGGTTATTCGTGTTAAGATTATAAAAAAGAACCGTTTCCACTTTCAATACTTTTGCTCGTTGTTCAATTGTTTGTAATGATTATGAATGACGAAGACTCACTGTAATCATGGTAATAACTGCACAGCAGTAGAGAGGACAACCCTTTTACTTCACAGTGGGAAAGTAACGCTCCACGTAAAAGGTGGCATTCATGAACTGTTCTCATCGCTGTAAAATGCTCCTATTTCAGTCAATCAGTCCATTTACATCAGGTATATTTTAGTGAAACACAGACAGAGGCAATTGAACCTTTAAGGTAAACCTAACTATTTGACAGAAAAAACAATTAAATACCAGAATACATTTTGATCACTTCATAAAACACCAAAGACATTTACAAATTTGCTTCACTTCCCTGACACAGAACAGTTCAAAAAACAAACAGGAACAACGTTATATATACATAAATATATCAAATGTACACGGTTTGTCACACATTACAAAAATAACTTAATGAAGGAACAGTGTGATGCAGCTTTACAGGCCCATTGTTTAGTTTCACATCTCTGATGACCTGAATACACAAATATCATGAAGCTTGTGAGGTTAACCAGAGCACTTCCTCATCTCAGCCAACCAACTTTTAAACAGAGCACGGAAAAAACAAAGTCACACATGACTGTGTATAAATACAGACACTGGACCTGCCAAACTTACACTTTATAAATCAAAAGTTTAGATTTCAAGCTGATGAACACTCGATCTAACACGTCTGCAGAGCTGAGAGATGAAAAAAAAGAAAAGAAAACGGTTTCATGATCAAAAAGATGTAGCAGTTACCCACAGTGTCATCACCCACTCCGGCCTGAAATCAAACAATGATCAAAGTCATGTCTATGAAATAGTGAACGTTATAGTTACCTCGTCACACACCTACACAGCACAGCACACACTAGTTCACGGTTACACACACGTGCCTAGTCACTAGAGAAAAAACAAAGCTATTCAGTAGTTAAGCCACTTTTGGTACAATTGCAAAATAGAGAGATACTGTATATCAAACAGATTTGTTAGACTTTTTTTACAGGTCGTTACAAACAATGCAAAGATAATTGTCATTATAAAAACCAGACTCCATACATAGACAAAGATTCTTTGAGTATAGAACGACACATAACACTACTTTATGGTCAAACTCGAGTGACATGACAGCCCATTTGTGTGACTGGAAATTCAAATATCTTTGCTTTCATTGCAGATCTGCACCTCAAAGGTTAGCTATGTGGCTGAAAGCAGGAGGAATAAACCAGTGTGTTTTGAAGCTGACATTTTCATGTAGGTGTACTAATCTACATCATAACTATGTCAGCAGACAATCAAATAAAAAAAAATATCATGAAAGATATTCAAAAAGCTGGGATCTTTTTTCTTCTTGTCAAAGTGAATGAACTTCAGAGTCACATAAATGGGAGTTTTAAATGCCTGATGGGTATTACACAGCTCATACAACAACGCACAGCCAGAGTTCAATGCGGTTACAAGCTGATTCCTGATTGGTCAGTGTATTTCATTAAGCACAGGTACCACTGTCCATCCATGTCCTCTTGACTTCGCCTTGATGCGTATCATTAGGAGATCAAGGCA